TTAAATACCGTTTATATATATATATATATCTATATCTTTTTAACAGAGCTGCTGGAGAAGAGAGAGGGGGGGGTATCTACAGGAACCCCATTCTATTTAGGTTTAAATACCGTTTATATATATATATATATCTATATCTTTTTAACAGAGCTGTTGGAGAAGAGAGGGGGGGGGGTATCTACAGGAACCCCATTCTATTTAGGTTTAAATACCGTTTATATATATATATCTATCTATATCTGTTAATACCAGATATTAATTGGTAAGAGAACACAATATAATATAAATACTGAATAAATTAGATGAAAAAGAAACCTATCATATGTAAATAGATCTGTACAGAGATAATATCTTCTGAAAGAAAAAATATATTTCTCAATAACATATTTTCCCTTCCATTAATTTTCATTTTCTGTCCAGTTCCTTATTTTTTTCTTGTTTCAAAACTTGGGTTTACAGCGAACGAAACTTTCGCGAAAAAACGCAAAAATGTTTATTAGGATTTCGCAATTTTTTTTAGCGACACTTCGCATTTTTTCGCGAAAATGAACTTTGTGAAAGGAAGCGAAAACGATGCTGAATTTCATGACCAAAACAAAATATGGGACAATTTCGGTTTCCCAGACAAAAAATTTTACCCAAAAACATCTCTTGATTGTACCTCCTTGAAAAGTCTTGATTTTTAAGACATTGAAATTTCGAGGAGTTTTTGCCACAAACTCAAATTTTCCAATATCTATATATTTGCAACCCATTGTCGTAGATCTAAGATATTTCAAACTATGAATTCTGATTGATCAAAAATGTTTGAAATATCAAAGCTTAACACCATTTGGTTGCTAAGATTAGAAAATTTGAATTCCCTCAAAGATTTTTTTAGAAAATATATATTTCCTTTAAAAAATCAATATTATTTGCTTGTTTTTGTACCTGTTAAAAGAATGACCTCTAATCCCTGCTGTTTCAGTGTATAAACTAAAAATATACATTTTTAAATTATTTTTTATTTCAATCAACTTTTCAATGAGACTCTCTCGACATGTTTTCAATTGACAGAGTTACAACGGTATCCTCAAACTTGTTTAAGCAAAAGGAGGAGACAAGGAGGAAAATTAACATAATCTAGTTTTTTCAAGTTTTTTTTTAATCCCGAGTTTCTCTTTCTCATAGTTCACTACTCAGTACTCCCCCACGGCAAACTGAAGTTAATTTACGTTTGATTAAACACTGACATGTTTTCACTACTCAGTACTCCTTTGATATTTTTTGGCCTTTTTAACACACAGTTACTTGAAAAAAGCCAATATTATTGATTTAAGGATAAACAAAAGTCAAAATTTTGTCATGGTTTCCCCCTCACGGCCCACCCCACTCCTCAAAAAAAGGAATTTGTTCCTGCAGTTCGTCCATATTCCTCTTCTCTAGAAAAGATAAAAAATTAGAAATTTTGTTTTCTCGAGTTTTTTGTCAGAAAATTTTAAACCAGACCTGAACATTTTCTTCTCCACTGAAATCTCAACTTCGATACCATTTCTTCTCATCCATTCACGATTCCCTCAAACAAAATAAAAAAATAAGAATAAACCTGTCTTCAAAAAAAATCAATGAACTGAATGTTTCATTTATTGGATTTCTTGTAAGTTTCTCGAAATCTAATTAGGTTGTATAACTAACCGTTTCCTAGACTATATCCAGAAAAAGGTAAAAAGAGAAAAAACAACTAAGTTTTACTTTAGATATACAAATAGAAAAGGGTACAAAAATAAAAAAGAAAAATGCTGATATTCGAAAAAAGATTTGTGTATTTGTGTTTACCGAAAAAAAGACATATTAAAAAAAGGTTTTTTGTTGAAAAAAAAACAAATAAAAGTTTAATTAACAATTTTTTTTTTTTTAATTTTTACCGATAAAGACAATTGGATCCGTTTTTTCAGCCTCTAAACCTCGACTTGACAAATCAGACTCTTTTACCAAACTAAAAAAATGCTTTAAAACGGTTTATTTTAGATTTATTTTATTATTTTAAAAGATTTATTTACGTTTTTATATTTTTTATGAAACGATAAGTGATATCTTTAATAATTTGAGGTAATTATTTAAAATTTATGTTTTGTATAACCTGACATCAATTTCTGTATCTGCTATTGTAAACTGCTTATCAAATCCTCGTGTTCTTTTGTTAACAATTATTATAGTTCTTGGAAAAATAATAATTGGATGAAGCATATTCTTGTAATATCTTGGAATTTCTGGCAATATCGAGAATTCCAGATATATGAGATATTCGAACCTTAAACACAAGAAGAATATAAAATACTTGGCTGTGTAATGACGCTTGGCGCTCCTTTTTATAATAATTATCATAAAATTCTGTTGCTGATCTAACTGCAAACCTTTTTGACTTACGACATAGTTCAATCTGTTTAGGATCTGGTTCAAACTGTTTAGGATCTGGTTCAAACTATTTAGGATCTGGTTCAAACTATTTAGGATCTGGTTCAAACTGTTTAGAATTTGGTTCAAACTGTTTAGGACCTGGTTCAAACTGCTTAGGACCTGGTTCAAACTGTTTAGGATCTGGTTCAAACCGTTTAGGATCTGGTTCAAACCGTTTAGAACCTGGTTCAAACTGTTTAGGATCTGGATCAAACTGTTTAGGATGTAAAGGACCTGGTTCTAAGTAATTTGTACCTGCTATAAACCGCTTAGTAACTGATTAAAACCGTTTAGGACCTGGTTATCACTGTTTTGGACATGATTTTAACTGTTTAGGTCCTGGTTCTAACTATTTAGGACCTGCTTCAAATCGTTTAGGTCCTGGTTCTAACTGTTAACGACCTGGTATTTAAGACCTAAATCCGTCATTAGAATTCTAAAATCCGGATTTCACCATCCGGGATCTGGTCTCTAGCATCTTTGGCGACAAAATGTTTACTACAAATATTTTATTTTTATTCTTTTATCGGTAGAAATACAATCAACTAACATCCAACAATTTGTTAGATATGAAATAATTCTACCTTGAGTCCGCACCCTGGAACAGATTGAAACTCATTTGCTTTTCCTAACATCTCCTTCCCAAATACCTGAAATCATTGGTGAGTATTTTGCGAATTTTGCATTACTAATTTCACGAATAATATTCTTATTCTTAATATTTTTGACAGAGTTCAGATGTTTAAATATAATTAAATATAATAATGATATTGCTGTATTTTCTAGTTAATTTCCCATAAAGGATTATCATTATCATTTATTCCCTAGGGGAGGGGTTAAAATAAATCTAATTTTCTCTAGGTTCTCTAATGTGATTAAAAAATATAAATGTGCTGACGCTTTGTTAACTGAACTCATTGTCCATCATGGTATTGTGTAGTGAGGGGGGGGGGGGGTAAAATAAATCTAATTATCTCTTGGTTCTCTGAAAATAAATTTCTTAATTTTTAAAATATTTCTCTCCTCACCTTTTGAACATATTTGACAATAGCTGTCCCCAAAGGATGCTCGCTTGAGCTCTCAGCAGTTCCTTAAAAACATTCTTCTGCAAAGGATTGTTCACCAATTTAACCAGAAAACTATGGAATAGGAAGTGGACTTTTGAAATCAAGTTATGACTTTTAAATTTAAGTTATGACTTTTAATCTCAAGTTATGACTTTTAAACTCAAGTTATGACTTTTAAACTCAATTTATGACTTTTAAACTCAAGTTATGACTTTTAAACTCAAGTTATGACTTTTAAACTCAAGTTATGACTTTTAAACTCAAGTTATGACTTTAAAACTCAAGTTATGACTTTTAAACTCAAGTTATGACTTTAAATAGTAAAATGAATATGAGACACTTTAATATTGGTTCAATGTCGTCTTCCTATTCTACAGTTTTCTGGTTTTCATTGTATGTTACCCTAATTTTGAAATGAAATCAATGACTAATTCCTTTAAATGGATTGTAAAAGTGATTGTAGCGACCCATCAATTTAATAGTTTTTTAACCCATGTTTGATAATAATGACATAGAATGTAGAATTATTTTTTTTTAGGTGAAAATATTTAATTTTGTAACCGCATGATTTCTGTTAAAGGGACTGTGAGCGAAGATGGCAATACCCGTTTCACGACAATTCTCTTAAAAGCTTTCTATGATTAAGTATGAATTAGAAATTCATGTTGTATTGAAAAAATCTTATTTTCAATTGTGGTTTCTCTACAAAAGTGACTTGCACATTTCTCAACAATTAAACATTTTTAAACCTAGGAAAACGACAATATCATCCTCATTATTGCTCAGGTAAAGGTTTTAAGGTTACCGTTGTAAATAAGGCATTCAAGTAAAAATAAGTTACCAATGGCAGTTAATAACAATATTTCTGTCTATTAAAAAAAATCCGTTCTTTATATAAGGGCATATTACCAAAGATTGTCTATATTTCTGTCAAAACAAAATATAACAAAATATTACCAATGGCTGCTAACAAAGTAGCAAACGATTCTGCTAGGTCTATGCATAGCTCCTTCACTAAAATTAATCATTCAAATAATACTCAATAATAAAATTTAACTTCTTAAAAAATCCAAATTTTTGGGCGTCTTTTAAATTATCATCTCAAAAGATTGCAAAATATGAGTGTTTCTTATAAAGCATTGTTAAATAAAATCAAATTCAAGAAACCCTCAATTTGCTTGATTTTTTTTACATATTTTTTAACCGCCCAGTTTTAATCTAAACCTAACAGAACATAATGTCTTTCGGCAAAAAAATTATTAAACAAGATTGCCTAATACAATTCTGGCCACCATTGGAACACCGTAGGTAATGGTTCCTAAAAATAAAAGAAATTCTGAATAAACTAGCAAATAAACATTTTTAATTTTAAATATTTTCTTTCCTGTTTTATCGAAGACGACAGTTTTTACTTTGTGGGCATTCTCCAGTGGTTCTGCACCTGAGAACAAAAAGTAGAGAAAAGTTTGTCCTTAAAATTTTGAAATATATTTTCTAATCCCAAATTTATTTATGATAATCTAATATTTCATACCTTTGATTAGAATTCCATTAATGGCCCCAACCCCAGTCCCAACCATCACAGCAGTAGGAGTAGCTAGACCAAGCGCACAGGGACATGCTATTGCCAATACTGAAAAAAATATAAAAAAAATACTTAATTGGCACTTTAACTCATATTAAATAATAATAATTATAAGAAGAAGAAAATTATATTGCTAAAATATCGATCTGAAAAAAAACCTGTCAGAGCCATTCTGAAAGCAAATTGCCAAACCAGTTCTTGAGCGCTGTACATATTACGTTCCATGTCAGAAACTGGCAGAGAACCCGGCCTCACGTAGCCAACTACCAGCCAGCAGGTCAGTGTTACCAAGCTGTTGAGAATTGAGATTTAGGAGATTTTACAGTCTGAGGTTATTTTCAAAGGAACTAAGTTCTTGCCACATAATGCCACAAACTTAAATTTTCTAATCCCTATATCTTCACAAAACTATTTGATCCAACAGAATTTATTGTTTCAAATATCAAAGGTGTATAATATTGGGTTGTAAAAATATAGAGTTTCAAAAACAAGAGTTTGTTGCAAGAACTCAGTTCCTTTAGGTATGTTTTAAAAAGGGATTAAAAACAATTAATGTTCCAAATAAATTCTTGTTGAAAATGTTCCTAAAATTGTTTATAAATATGTGGAAACAATGACCTGACTGATACTACAATAGGTACAAAGTATCCAGCAATAGTATCCGCTAACTGCTGGATTGGAGCCTTGCTAGTCTGGGCTTCCTCAACCAACTTCACAATCTGACTGTATATGTAAAATGAATTTGTATTTATTTCCCAGAATATACTCCCCTTGCATTGGATGGAAGGGCAGGGGTTAAATGCTTTTGGGAAAATGTAAAAATTGACTTTTATTATGAATTAACTGAATTGTATCAGGTCTTCAGCCTTACATGAAATTACCAAAAAAATTAAATTACTTAAAAAATGAATGGACAAAGTAATTTAGTAAAGGAGGCAGGCTGATTTTATTTGAAGGAAAAAATGTATATATATTATTTTAGGTCTATTGATAATCTTTTTTCATTCAAATTTCATTGCCTTAAGGCTGTTTCATCCCCAACATGAGTTGCTTTAATAAGTAGGGAACCATTTTGATTTATAGAACCACCGATTACCATCGAATCAATCTCTTTCCTGAATTATTAACAGCATTGAACCTTATCAAGTCAATCTTTGAAGTACATATAAAAGAGTGTACTTTTAATTTTGTATAAATGTAATAATGCTAGTATTTAATTTCCTAACAGGCATGCTTTCTCCAGTTATAAGTGATTCATCGCATAATGAATCTCCAGAAACAACCCTGCCATCCACAGGAATCTTGGTACCAGGAACAACCTATTCAACCATGCTCACAAAATGTGCAATCTATCTATCTATTATGACTCCCCAATAACATGAATGCTATCAGGTAACTACCCTCCCTGCAACCCTCTGCTTCCTCCCGGAGTGCATGGGTCATAGAGTGAGCATGACATGTGCAATGATACTGTTATGCCCGAGTGGCGGTAGCCGAAGCCCTGAAGCCCCAATTACCGTGGCCTGTATCTACAGCCTTATATTATGAATGTCATGGAGACAATTAATTTCCAAAGATAAAAAGAGAATAAGTGCATAATTATATATGTGGACGACAAATTAGGTTGTTAACAATTTATGTATTTCTGAAGCCATACAACAAATTGATACTGCTAAAAACCTGAACATTTACAATCATTCACATTTTCTTAGACCTAACAAACAAATTGTTAAAAAAGGTAAATATAAGTTTCACATTTTCTATGACAAAACAAACTACATACTGAACTTTATTCACATTGTTCGCATATTAAGATTTTTAAAGCGCATCATTCTTAGCATTATCTTATGGTAAAGCTTACCTTCAAAATATCCCCTTTGTGTACCAAATCTACACTAATTTGCTTCTCACAAACAATTTGTCCATCTTCACCAAGCTCCACAATAACAGCCTCAGTGGCCTTAGTATAATTCAGTCTCAATATTTGTGTCTATTTTATAGTCTTTAGGTGTCAGTGAAGTTCAGAAAAAAATTTAGTATACCTCAACTTATTTTTTTTATTCAATAGTTCAAAGTTAAATGAAAGATTCTCTTAAAAGATAAGTCTAGAATTTATTTCCCAGCAAAACAGATTTGAGATGAAACTGATAATCATTTACTTTCCTTTTCTCTTCATGTTACGAATATGACCAAACATACATTGTAGAATTCAGCATTAATAAAGTTGTTTTTGTTTCTGTAAAATTAAATCGTCTACCTGTAAAGAAAGTAGTTTGGCAAGTGCATCACTTGTTTTAGACTTTGCAATATGTTCCAACCATCTACCCAGTGAGATAAAGACCATCAGCATCGGTGGTGTGTCGAAGAAGGTCATGGGACTTGTGTGGTCCTATTTTGACAATCAATCAATTCAGATACAAGTCAAGGTTTTGATAAATTTCATAATTCAGAACTTTTACATCCTATTTATATAATAATAGTGGGAGTGGCCAACATTACCCATGATTAAATTTTTATTTATACTCATAGTTGCTCCCGCCGTTTACCTGCCCTTGGTATATAATCATAATTTTAGCTGAAGTGCCCTGCGTTTCTTGTGGACTTAAAAAATTTCCAAAATTATTTAACTTATGTCATCCCCTAGGTAAACATGGGTTTACTAAAAAATGTGAGCCAATTTGGTTCAGCCGTTTGGCCAGCTATAGTTAAAATATTGATATAAATATATGAGCGAAAAGCTTTATTTTATAGATTTTGGTAATATTTTTCATCATAATAAGAAATTTTGAACTGATTTTAGAAAATATAACCCATGGTCATTCAAGATTATTTATATTTTTCCAGCACAAATCCTTAAAAAAGTGCTTTCAAGTGTCTATATCATAATTTCTCTATAATTGGATTTGAAAATTAGGCATAATCTGATTGCAAAATAAAATTATTGATCTACAAATTTATGATATTTTTTAATTGATTGATTGATTTCCTGCATGATCATAGATGCAAGAACAACAGCACAGCTGTAAAGGTATGATATTGTTGTTGCCAGAACAACAAGTACATCCATGTTGGTGTTACCATGCTTCATTGCTGCCCAGGCCTTGACAAATTAAAATAATTTTTTACGTTTGGAAACTTTAAAAGTAACTGTGCTGAAATTTTGAACAAAACCTCTATAGCAACAGAAATCCACCTCATCTTTTAAGAAATTTACTTTAAATTTTTCCTTCGTATGCTTGCATATATTGACCTGTATATAAAAATGTCGTCCTCCAATGAACTGGACAGGAGTTGACAGAAGAAAAAGTAGAATATTCTCCAGAGAAAGGCCTAAATAAAAATGATGGAACTTTCCACCACTAACAGTTTACCTTCTATGAAAAAAATACAATTCCCTTATTATACAAAGATAGTTTCTTCTTCTTTTTCTTAAGATTTCTGTATAGCTAACCTCAATCAAAATGATAAATGTAAAGTCAAAATTTCCCGTAATTTTTTTAGGTCTTTTAAGTTGATTCTTAAACTCTAAAATGAATCTATGCTCTGTAGCTTCCTTATAGTCTGATAACAAAACATTGATTATTCAAAATATCTCATTTGTTTAAAAATGTTTTTAAGTTTACCTGGCAATACACAGCAGGAATCCATAGGCATAGCAATCATGTAGTACAACATCACTATAGGTCGCATTATTTTAAAACAATAGTTGTAAAGGAATACTGAAATAATAGTAAAACTGTTTTGGAAAATATTTTGAGTTTGTTTCAAGCTTTAACTAAATCTCTGAACTCTGCATTCAAATACTCCCTTTCTGTACACTATCCATATTGTGGTGTACTGATTCTTTTTTAAAGATTAAAACAACCTTAATTTTCCCGGTTAAAATTTTCAAATCAAATAAAGTTTGTCTCTGTCAGCTGATTTAACAAAATGGCGGCCTCCCTATCATGCATGGAAGACCAAACACAAGAGAAACAAGGAAGGAATTCCTCCATTTTAAAATCTCATCCTTGTGATCTGGAAATCCTCGTTCTTCTCCCCTTATAACAAAATAACTATGATTATAAATAATTCATTTTTATTTATTATTTATTTTTTACCTTTTAACGATGGAGACGTCAAATCCAAGATCTTCTATTGCCTTAATTATGTCCCTAACACCTGATCAATTATAAATTAATATAATTAAGGAGATCTAAATAATGACAAATTAAGATGATTAAGGAGAGAGTGACAAATAACATTTGTTTGCAATAAACTTGAAATAACAGCCAAGGAAAGTGTAGATATATAATAATTATTAATTTGCTTAAAAAAATTGAGTTAGCAATAGGCATACATGTATATTTTATAATTTAACTGTTATATATTTCAGAATTATATAAATTAACAAATTGCATATTAATCTCATCAATCTATCATTTTCTTACCTAATATATCAGGATCAAACTTGATTTTTCCCTTCTCTGTGGTTAGTGCAACCTGTACTGCCTGAACCCCTAAATATTTTAGAAGCAAATTGTTAATTAAATATGAGACTTTTTTCCTGTTGATGTATCATGTTTTTCCGTTGCTATCTTTATTAACAAAAAAGTTTATTAATTTCAGAAGAGAAAGAACCGGAATAATCATTTAAATGAGGAATTTAAAAATTTACTGAAATCAAAAAAAATAATAATAATTGCTTTAAAATCTTTAAAAACAGGATTGCGCAATATAAGGTATGGGAGTTATTAAGGACTATAAGATTTTTTTAATTTTTGAAAATCAAATTAATTTCATATAGTGCTGCTAGTGTACAGCTGGTTTAAAATACTTGAATATTCCAATGTTTAATATGTTTAACTTATTTTATCTTATGAGATCTATTTTTTCCTTCATAATATCAGCCAATTATAGTTTTTTTAAAACTTTTATAGATAAATCTACCTTCTGTTTTTATAATAGTTGATTCTATCAGATGCACACATGAGCTGCAGGTCATTCCTAAAGATTGCTTTTTATTCCTAAACATTGTTTGTTATTCCTAAACATTGTTTATTAATCCCAAGAATTGATATTTATTCCTAAACATTGTTTATTATTCCAAAAAAATGTTTATTATTCCTCTAATCATTGTTTGAAATTCCCAAGCATTGTTATGATTTCCAGATTCCTAAAAATTGTTTATTATTCCTAAACATTGTCTATTATTCCTAAACATTAATTTTTTTCATAAACATTTTTTATTATTCCTAAATATTGTTTTATTATTCATAAATATACATAAAAAATTAAGATTACTTTTGTTTGTTATAAAACCTATATTATTGTCCGTGTATAATATACTAATATTGTCCAGATTACCTTTTTTCTTTACTCACAAAAATCTTCTTACCTTTTATGTTAAGTTCAATATCACCATGCGTTGGTTCTTCGTCCAATATTTGAGTTGGAAACCCTGATTTTAGAAAAATTTTAATTGATATGATAAATTTGCTGGAAACCCTGATTTTAGAAATATTTTATTGATATGATAAATTTGCTGGAAACCCTGATTTTAGAAATATTTTATTGATATGATAAATTTGCTGGAAACCCTGATTTTAGAAATATTTTATAAGTCTGATAAATGTCATGGAAACCCAGATTTTTAGAAATATTTTAATGGTATGTTAAATGAGTTGGAAACCCTGATCTGATTTTAAACCTATAGATTGAAGAATTACCTAGTAAACCTATAGATTGAAGAATTACCTAGTAAACCTATAGATTGAAGAATTACCTAGTAAACCTATAGAGTGTGCAATATCTTTCGGCTGAAGAACAGCAGGGTCAAACAGTACTTCTGCCTTCGCCGACATCAAAGCAACCATTACACTTCCAACCCCATCTAGTGATAATCTTTAGAAATATTTGGCGTTCTTTTTTGTTTGTTTTTTGTTTGTATTCAATTTTTTTGTGGGAATCCACATGACATCTGCAGAGACGGTGTCAAAATTTCAAAATATTACTTAAAAATAATTTTGATTTAAAAAGCTGTTGGAAATCAGCGAACTTTTTTCATATTATTATTTCAAATATTTGGAAGAAAAAGGTGAACTAAGTGCCCGGCTATAGTTATGATAAAGAAAAATAAAATGTTTTTTTTTTAAATTTCACCTATTTTCTTCACATGTTTTTCTATTGCAGCAACACAACTTGCACATGTCATCCCCTTAAATATGTTTTGAAAAATTAAAAATATATGTTATTTTTCTTAAAAAAAAGATTCTTACATTTACTCTAAAAAAGCATTTTTGATAATCTGCTTTGTTGATTTCTGAGTTATCCTCTGCTATATTTGTATGATATGGTTGTACAGCTGAAACAGAATTGCCATCTAATCCATCAATTAAATCTATCTGTACTGCACAAGCTGGAGAAGGAAGAGATGCTGAAAATAAAAAATTTGACAATATTTTATTTTATTTTACTTTTTGAAGTTTTTTTTTAAGGACCTGTAAATTTGTCTGATATTTTATTTATGAATTCCATTAAATCCTCTTGACTAACCATTTCACTGTTAAATTCGATAACTGCCTCTTTATCCTCTAAATACCAGCAGAAAAAGGTTTATAATAAAATTTGTAAAATCTTAAAATATTAATATTGAACTAATTTGGATTTAAAATTAAAAATTTTTCTTAAAAATTCGATGACATTTATCCTCTAAATATCAGAATAAAATTGATAATGAAAATTGTAAAAAATACCTTTATATTAATTCAAATTGAAATAAAAATTACAAAATGTTCAAAATTGCGCTGATCAGCTGATTTTCCTAACGTGATGTAACAGTTGTACACTCCCTGGAGACCGGTTAGTTTACCGGTAATATTTCGTACACACGACTGACAAGTCATACCATCTTAATAGAGTTTCATTTTATTCATTTAAAAATAGCATTTTAACTTAAAATTCTTGGATTTAGAATCTAAAAATGAGAGAAAAAGTCGCATATTCTCCTATTTCTTAAATACAACCTCCCACCCCCTCCTGCTGAATCTTAAATTTCATATATGCCGGGATGGAAGAGGGGGGGGGGTGCTTTTCTAGAAGAAGGAAGGGGGAGGGGGATCCACATTTAATAAAACACAAAAACTCTTTTCCTATTGTCAGAGTTCCAACTTCCGAAATGAGCCTGGCGGTGAACTTTGTTCCAACATCATTTACTAGCATTGCAACAGCCACGCTGGTCAACACGCTCCTAAAGTATAGCTATACAAAGAAATAGTGACGTGAAGTAAAAGAGTTTTCTAATCCCTACATCTTTGTAACCCGATGTCGTCCTTTTACATTGTGTAATAGGCCTGATCTAAGAAATTGTCTTGCTAATTCTTTTCATTTAGAAACCGACTGATTGCAGCCTTAAATAATCAATTCAAAGTATACGAGTTACAATTGGACTTTCCATCATTGTTTTAATTGTGAATTGCGGTGAATTTTTTTTATAGAACTCTTTAAATTAAGGCTCACGATTATGATGAGAGTTCCTTTAATATAAATACAAAAAACCTCACCGGTCGAATGAAACAGTTGCTTCTTTCTGCTCTAAGTCGACTTTAATATGGTGAACCCCTTGGATCTCCGCCATATTGGATTCAATATAGTTCACGCATCTGCCGCAAGTCATTCCGTCCACATGTACACGTGCTACAGAGTAACCTTTCGAAGCCATCTTAGACTTTTTCTTTAAAAATATGAATTAGATTGGTAAGATTATAATCATTTTTTATAGAATAAGTTGTTTTATTTCTATTGATAAAAACAGATTTATTTTTATTTCTGATTTAACTTTTCTAAACATTTATTTAAACCAAACAGTGACACTCCATCCAAAGATGGCAATGTACAACGGAATGGTCTTAAAAGCTTTATCTGATCAAGTATGAATTAGGTATCAATGTTTATATTTAAAGAAAACTGACTAAATTTTAATTGTGGTTTTTCTACAAAAGCGACTTGCGCATTTCTACCTTAGGAAAACGTAGATAGGAAATTTCAAATTTGTACACTTTTCAAACTAGAAAAACGACAGTATCTTACACATTATTTGTCGATTAGATAAAGGTATTAAGGGTATTTTATTAATCGGGCATTGTCATGATTGCATGGAGGGTCACTTGAAATAACGCTTACAATCCCTTTAAGTGTTTAAGTTAATTTCCAAATCAACGGTAAACCAATATAGAAATCTAAAAAAGGCAAAATACCGAAACTAACTATTTTTTAACAAGGTTTTATTCAAAGATTTTCATGAGTCGTTACTATAAAGTTCAATCCTTTTGGGATAACTCAGTACATTCGTCTTCTTTAATAATCGGGGAAATATTGATTTGAAATTATTATTTTCTGATCTAACCTTAGGATCTCTAACTGGTGATCTCTGTTGAAGGAAAGCTTGGAATTTATTTGGATTCACTTTCTCAATGCAATCTAAAATTAAGGTTATATTGAAACTTCTTTTTGAAGTTTGATCACCATCACCATCACCTACTTCCCCTAATTTACTACTAAATAGCGATAGTTATGCTTTACAGTCCAAAGGAATAAGTTTTTGTCACAAACTCAAATCTCCTATTTCCTAAATATTTGCATTCTGATGGTGTAAACCATTCTTCACCAAATCTTGAGAAATAAAAATGTTTACAAATCCTGCCTGGCATGAATTTAGTAACAAAATTGTTTAAAGTTCCATTTTGCTACCTGGAAAAAAATTGGAAAAAAACTTCTAATTGGTTTCTACGGCAATTTTTTTTTATTAAAAATAGTTTTTTCCATATACCAAAAACATTTTTGCATTTCTTTCACCTAAAACAAACCTTGCAAATATTTTCATAATATGTTGTAAATTTAAATTTACGGTTTGTTTATTTCGACGATGAACGACTGAATAATATCATGAAAAAAGAGAAGAAGTTAAAAACGAAGGAACTGAAACAAAACTGAGATGCGTGATGCACGTGGTTGGTTCCGATCCGATGGTTTGTTATAATCCATCCACGCATACAATATTACTCATATCGCGGAGGGAAAACCATTAGTTTACAACAGGGTTAAATGAAGGGAGGAGGGGGGGGGGCGAGGGTGAAAGGGACTGTTCAGATATTAGGAATTATTGAGGGAGGTACCATTTATTGAACAGTGGAACCAGCATTACAGGTTTTAAGGGACTATTGACATAATTGCCCTTGACCCATTGCACTGAAAGAGTTAAGCACGTCGGATTCACAAAAGTATCCTGAGCAAACAGTAATGTTATATATCTTTGATTTTTAAAGTCTTTTTAATTACTCTCAATTTTTAAAAAGTAAGTTTTAAGGATACTCAGCACAAAAGTTTAGACTTTCAAGATTTTTTATAGTTTAGTTTTTTTTCGGGGGGGGGGGGGGGGGAAAGGGCAGACCTGCAATGGTGTCTGGATCTGTCACCGAAGGATCGTAGCTGACCACCGCCAAAGCATTCTCAAGAGAAACTGGAAAAGTTGATCAAAATTCATGAATTGAAGTTTAGATTAAAATTTATGAAATTGAAGGACGACTCTTAGACTTAAGTAAAGACTTTAAATAGTACAATAAGCATGAGTTAATAGCAATTGTGCAATGCAAACAGACCCATTTTATTCAATTAGTAATTGAATTCTACTTAGGGGTAAGGGGGGGGGGCAATGTTAGCCAGGCCTATCATCCTATATAAGCTATCTCTTAGCTTAGATTTATAATTAAATTAGTATTTGATTCGGATATTTTCACTGAATGACACGTTAAATAAATTTGTATCACAATCTCACGTTTAAATCGGGAACAATCCCTTTAATCTTAATATTTTTCCATTCTCTATTCATACATGTAATATGAATGGGATGGATTTGAGAATTAATGAAGAATGTTTACACAAGATGTTCAGATTATCTATGTCTTCAAAAATTTCATTATTATCTAAAGCTTCAGCCATACATGAGGGGGGGGGATATCTTCGTAGCAAGAACAGTATTAGAAGTGGACGAGGGGGGGTTTTTAGAAGTGGACGATAAACACTCTGTGTTACTAAAAATTAAATCACAAATAATGTCATAAATTAAGGCCAAAAATCGTCTTCCTATTCCAGAGTTTTCTGATTATCACTGTAGGTATTTTCCCTAAGGAATTTTTCTAAGGAAGACTTCCCAAGTGGCAGCTTACCAATGGTGCTATTTCCAAAGCGGCAACTTCCCAAAGGTTAGGTTAGGCCTTCTGAGGCGCCACAGACTGCAATGTGGACCGAGCGCTGTGGCTAGAATAGACCTGGGAAGTTGCCGCTCGGGTAATTTTACAGTTGGAAAGTTGCCACTAGGGGAAATACCTTTTGGAAAGTACCTAACATGAAACAATTTTTGTGACCTAACCAAACAGCTCAAAACTCAAAAATAACGAAAATTTTAAAAAAGTCTTGGAAGTCTTAGAAGCCAGAGCATGAGGGCTGGGCTCGGGAAATCACTAGTCACTAACTGTTTTTTACAATAATACAGGGTGTCCCAATACACATGACAATTGAGAGACGACTTTAAAGTCGTCTTTGATTTCTGAAATTTAATGCCTGGCAAAGAAAGTATAAAAACGAAGCTGTCCGACTTACGGGCTTTTCATAAAAATTTGAAATTTGTACAAATTTTGCAATATCTCCGTCAATTTTAAATCCCAAGTGCAGGCGTTTTACTATTAGATGATTGGAATTCTGCAATAATTGTGTACATGAAAAAATGCCACATGGATCAAAGACTATATAAAAGTCGTTACTTAATTCCCATGTTTATTGGGACACCTTGTACTAGTCTCTAACATGTCACAATGGATGCAATCAATCCCCTTCCTAGAAAATGTAGGACGAAATTGTGCCTTAAATTCAAATTTTGCAGACATTTCGATCTTGTTTTTGCCATGTAACTGTCTGTTTAGTTCAGACAAGGTGAGATAGATAGATACAATCAACGGCAAATTTAAATCATGCTTAACAAAACAGTCAGCATATTCCAGAAAATAAGATTTTCACTCTAATAATACAATTCATTAAGTTTTAAAGTGTATGCCTTAAAAAGAGACTTGTAAAAAATGCTTGAAAAAAATTTGAATAAGTTTTTTTTAATCATGTTTATCAAAAATTGTAACATTGTGACAAGTGTGTGCATAGTATAATTAGCGGAATATGACCTTTTATTAATTAATTATTAATTGAATTAATTAGGTAGATACAGTTATTTATTTGGGATTTTTAATCATGAAAAATGAAGTAATGTGTTTAGTCAAAAGTTTAATTTTAGAAATATAAATATTTTAATAAAATGTTGCAGAGATGCAAAGAAATATCTCCTTTTTGTCAGAAACTCTTATTCCCTTCTTGATTTTAAATGAATAAATTTTTTTCACAAAATCAAAAAAGAAATTTTTTAATTTTGATCCTGAAAAAAATGTCTAAAATGTAAAAGTTTACGTGAAACTTAAAGTAAGGTTGACGATTAACTGACAATACTGAATACACACATACTTCAGGATTAGTATGCGATACTGCTATATATACCTAGATTCAGATATCTACAGGGGCGTATTATTGCCCGGACTGGGGACAGAATGGGACGGGAAGGGGAGGGGGTTATCGTCAGGGAAAAATGTTAAAAATAGAATTCATGATTTCCTGTGATAGTGTCCACACCAGGTTGATTTCCTACCTATTTTTAGATTAAAATATAGATAATATAATAGTGTACATATTATTATAAATTACATAATAGAACAGAAGACAATAGAAGTGTAAACATGGCCAGAAACCCCCAACCCCCAAACGTTTTTTTTAATTGAAAACCATGGTAGGGCTTCCACCAACCCCCCCCCCTTCCCTGAAAAGTTGTAAAGTTATCCACCCTCCCTAGGAAAAAATTGTTTTATAAGCCCCTGATATACAATATGTATTTTATGTAGTTACATAAAAATAGTACGCATTATAAAATTAGCTTCTAATGAAAGTTGGAAGCAAAAAGCATTTTTTCCACAAGGCAAATATTTTGATATAAATGTTAGGTTATGTAATGTTTTAAAGTTGAAACTATGTACATTACACAATTCATACTAAAAAGGAAAGTGTTTAATCCAATTGTAAGCCAGATACAAAAGAACTAATTGCTTAAGCAACTGCAAAAAGCTAGTTTAATGCGCAAATTCTTTTTCTTAGACATTAAAAAAGTTAATTTTCAATTAAAACTGTGTTATTTACAATGATAATTATTTAGTACCTTTGATTGAATATTATTCACACAACTACTGCACGTCATCCCTAAATAAAATTGATTTAGCATATTTTAATTTTGAAAATAAAGAATGTTTTATCAGAGGCCGTTCCTTTCCAACGCTACAATGGTCGACCAGATGACGTCTCTGGCTGTGTAGTGTCTAAAGTATCTATCTATCAGATAAAAATCTTACGTGAGAAATCTATAAGCGGTCAACTTTCGTCACCCAAAGAATGTCATTATTCAGATACATTCGTTGGAAAGGAACGGCTTCAGAGAGAAATTGTCTCATACCTTCGATACGAATTGAAACTGTCCTGTTGGAATTGAACAGACTAGAATTAATGTCGTCCTCATCTTCCCATGTGCTCGCTGAAGCGGCCATTTTAAACCTTTTTTTCTTTCAGTAAAAAGGATTGGTTCGAACATTACTTTATCTACGTTCAGGTTATCTTTTGCTTTAGTAGTGATTTTTTTCTTAAATGATGTAGGTTAAATTAAAAAAAATACACTCAAAAATCAATAAAAAGAAGAGCTAAGACAAAAGAATGCATATTTCAAATTAAAAAATCGAATTAAATTATAATAATTCTCAAATATAAAGAAATGAATGCAAAGTCAACGTTTTACGCTCACAAACTTGTAAAAAAAATAATATCTATATGATACACTTAGATAAAACAGTTTACATACATGATACATCATGCACATTTTACAGTTTACATACATGATACATCATGCAAATTTTAAAGTTTACATACATGATACATCATGCATATGTAACAGTTTACATACATGATACATCATGCACATTTTACAGTTTACATACATGATACATCATGCACATTTTACAGTTTGAATTATCGTAGTTTGCATTTTCTGAAGTTTTTATTATCGTAGTTTGTATTTCTGAAATTTGTATTATTGTAGTTTGTATTTCTGAAGTTTGTATTATCGTAGTTTGTATTATCGTAGTTTGTATTTCTTAAGTGTGTATTATCGTAGTTTGTATTATCGTAGTTTGTATTATCGTAGTTTGTATTATCGTAGTTTGTATTATCGTAGTTGGTATTTCTGAAGTTTGTATTATCGTAGTTTGTATTATCGTAGTTTGCATTATCGTAGTTTGTATTATATCGTAGTTTGTATTATACTAGTTTGTATTTCTGAAGTTTGTATTATCGTAGTTTGTATTATCGTAGTTTGCATTATCGTAGTTTGTATTTCTGAAGTGTGTAATATCGAAGTTTGTATTATCGAAGTTTGCATTTCTGAAGTTTGTATTATCGTAGTTTGCAATATCGAAGTTTATATTTCTGAAGTGTGTATTATCGTAGTTTGTATTTCTGAAGTCTGCATTATAGTAGTTTGTATTTCTGAAGTTTGTATTATTGTAGTTTGTATTTCTGAAGTTTACATTATCGTAGTTTGTATTTCTGAAGTTTGTATTATCGTAGTTTGTATTTCTGAAGTTTGTATTATCGTAGTTCGTATTTCTGAAGTTTTTATAATCGTAGTTTGTATTTCTGAAGTTTGTATTATCGTAGTTTGTATTTCTAAAGTTTGCATTATCGTAGTTTGTATTATCGTAGTTTGTATTTCTGAAGTTTGTATAATCGTAGTTTGTATTTCTGAAGTTTGTATTATCGTAGTTTGTAATTCTGAAGTTTGTATTATCGTAGTTTGTATTTCTAAAGTTTGCATTATCGTAGTTTGTATTTCTGAAGTTTGTATAATCGTAGTTTGTATTTCTGAAGTTGTATTGTCGTAGTTTGTATTTCTGAACTTTACATTATCGAAGTTTGTACTTCTGAAGTTTGTATTATCGTAGTTTGTATTTCTGAAGTTTGTATTATCGTAGTTTGTAATTCTGAAGTTTGTATTTCTGAAGTTTGTAAAGAAAAGTTACTTGTACTGTATGACCTTGGGATTATAGTATTTGAGTGCATTAAACTGCATTTAAACAATGCAGCTTCATTTGACTTGATATAACTGCATTTCGTATTGTTTTCTCCCCTCTCTACAGCACTAATAGTTCGAATTTTATGCAAAATAAAATAAAAATAATTTAACATTTTCTAATGTGTGAAAGCTTTAAACTGTAAAAAACAACTGATAAAAGTACTATTACTACGTGACTTTATCTTACACTTTATTTTAGGATAAAAAACATTAATTCCATTTTTTTTAAAATTAAATTCAAAACAAAGCTTAAGATATGCTAAAACGAACGTCATGTTTTAAAAATATTTTCGATTATGTTACGTAATATTTGAAGATGAATAATTTGTAAATATTTAATTATTAATAATGCATCTTGTTACAGTACAACTGCAGTCAAAGTACAATGGTAAAATATTATTTCTTAAAATGCAATAAATGTAATTTTAGTTAAAATTTCCAAGGAGTAGAAAAAAGATAATTAAAAAAATATATTTCCCCTGTTAACACTACAAATCTTATCTCCAAAGGGGAGGAGTAGAGATAATAAAATATTAATAGATAGAAAGATAGATGAATAGATTGATAGATGGACAGATAAATATATATCAAAATAGTGAAATAGATAAATAGATAAACAGATAAACAGACAAACAGATAAACAGATAAACAGATAAACAGATAAACAGATAAACAGATAAATAGATAAATAGATAAATAGATAAATAGATAAATAGATAAATAGATAAATAGATAAATAGATAAATAGATTAATAGATAAATAAATAAATAGATAAATAGATTAATAGATAAATAGAGAAAAAGATAAACAGATAAATAGATAAATAGATAAATAGATAAATAGATAAATAGATAAATAAATATATAAAATAACAACGCTGGAAATTTAGCCTAAAAACGGTTCGAAAATGGAAACACTTTAAATTAGAGCTTCATCATGGTGACTCAGATGTCCTAATTCAATAGTTAGCGACCCAACACTTTTGTACAAAATATAAGTAATAACATCTTCGCGTTCTACAAAAATTTATTAAAGAACTTTATAAATTTATATACTTGGTAGTTATTTTTAGTTTTGTTTTGTAATAGTTGGGCAAAAACTTGTTTAAAATAGCGATTTTATCTAAATAAAAGAAACAATTTTTTAAAATCAACTTTATACATTCCTTTCTTTACAAATAATTAAAGAAAAAATTTATCTAAATCATGGTTTAAAACATGCCTAAAGCCTGATATCCCATACGCTCCATTATACCTGTGCAAATTTGAAAAAGTAAAATATATTGATAATAACAATAATAATATTAATAATAATGATAATAATAATAATCAGAATTATGATATAATAATAAATGATTTATGATAAAATGTTATAAGAAGATTGTTGCGTTTCAACTGATATATATATATATATTTATATATTATATATTTATACGAGGTACCTGGGAGACCAGGGAATCGTTTCAACTGTTTCATTTCACAATTCTGAAACCACAAAATTACAATGATTATGTATATATATATATCCATAGACACCTATATATATTACAGTGATTGTATATATATATATATATCCATAGACAATATATATATATATATATTACGATGATTATCAAGATAACTTAAAATCCAGGTAAATATTTGTGTGCACACGTTACAAATGAATTTCTGTGTACTTCAAATTAAAATGAAATAAATTTTGTTTACGTTTACGAAAATAAAGTGCATTGTTTACAAATGATATTGGTTGGTTAAAATTTAAAAAAGAACGTCGAAAAGTACGATTTTTTCTAATGTTTGTTGAAAATATGAAAATGACGATTTGACTAAAACTATAACTGTACTGGACATGTGAAGATACATCATGCATGATATTAAAAAAAGGTATTTGTAAACCTAAACCTTACCCATTTTTTAAATATCTTGTAATTATTACAAAATTGTTATCTTTGACGAAAATTTAGATAAGACGACATTTAAAATTATTGATTTAAACAAAATGTAGACCTAACTGTCGGAAAAATTATGTTTAATGCATTTTACAAAAATTAATTAATGAATAATTGAAATTTATACAAATTTTATTTTCTTCTCAGCAAGATTTTATCCCTGCTTCGATGTTGTGTTGACATATATCAGGACCGTTATAATTCTGACAATTTGTATAGAAGGGGGGGGCGGACACAGCTCTCCTATACAAAGTATATAAGCACTTATTTCACCTATTATTTAATCCGCCAAGGGGGGGGTACAGTATTTAACAGGTGTAAAGTGTTGCGAAGGGGGGGGGGAGAGACAAACCGCACTCGTATAGCCTCCATCCCGCAATTTATTCACAAACCTAGAGTTGCGGCATCGGGTTTACCTGTACCCCTTAGCCGCACCCCTATATCATCCGGCAAAATGTCTTAACTTTTAAATGCTTATTGTAAAAAAATACAGCGTTAATTTAATTTTAAAGAAGTCATGGCATCTATTATAACCTAAACATATTAGCTGTTACATTTTTGTTAAAGAGTGTGATTTATTTTGATTTCCTCCTAAAATGTAATATTTTGTACATGTCCGCTGATGTTGAACTGCTCTAAAAATGTTTTTTTAAAGTTATGGAGAAATTCAATCTTTACCAAAAATGACGCAGTTTTGCGTGCTAATCGGTTTTTGATTATCTTAAATCATATAGCTAGATAGATAGATAGATTTTAGATACTATTAAACCAAATTGCACGCAAAAATGTATAATTCTGTTAAAAATTGAATTTCTCCTTACCTTTAAGAATATTTTTAGAGAATATCAACATCAGTTAACATGTACACAATATTATTTTTTGGGGAAAAAAATGGCAAGACATTTTGCCGGAGGATATAGGGGTGCGGCTAAGAAAGCGCAACGGTTGAGCGCGTTGCCGTAACTCTATTTTTGTGAGTAAATTACGGGATGGCGGCTATACGAGTGGGCTTAACCCCCCCCCCCCCCCTCGTGTAGCAGTGCATTAAGGACCAATAATAATCAATATTTTGTTTCAGGATTTTATATTATTACGAAAATAAGTGTCTGCTTGTCACCAATTTAACTGAACATTTTACACTTTTTATGCGTACACAAGTGGGCAATATATCCTTTAAAATAAACATCTATAAATATTAACTGTTTTCTCTTACTCAACACATTCAGTTCAGAAAATAACTCTTACAAAAACATTTATCCCGGAACCTTTTAGTCAGTCTTTTCTTTCAATACAAACTCAGAACCTTTCCCAAAAGATAAAATAAAAATATTGAAAAGTTTTAGTTGTCAAAAAATTGAGTTTTTGTCACAAACTCTGATTTTCTAATTTCAATATCGTTGCAACCCAATGTCGCTGATCTTTAATATTTCAAACTATGAATGCTATTAGGTCAAATAATGTAAGTCTGAAATATTAAAAGGCTTACACCATAAGGTTGCAAAAATATAGGTTTTACAAAAACTGAATTTGTGACAAAGACTCAATTCCTTTAAATGCTCTAATTCAGTTTTTAAACCAGTTAGATTAGAAAAAGGAGAAATAAAGAAGAAATGTTTTTCTAATTGTAAACATTCACTTGTCTGATTCCACAAATATCATATAAAACAAATGTAAATAAAATCTCGAATTTCAAAACTTTTAATCAGTAAGTATCCTAAATACAAAATATCTTCTTGTAAAAAAGTTCTAAATAGGTTAAATATTGGACGCAAAATGGCGTCGAGTCCAAGATGTTCCAGAAATCAAACCAACCAATCAAACCAGAGTGTAAAATTTGTCTCTTACCAATTTTTTTAAATGCATGATGTACAATTATGCCGGGTATAGGGAGGTTCTGTAATCTTGCCTGCAGGCTACATTGGTTGATAAAACGTGCTTCGTCGACTTAAAAACTGGGTAATCAAGACTGGACAGTACGAGTAAATGTATTTGCAGTACATGCTGTACCGGCTCGAATCCTACAACTTTTAGAGTGGAGTGGAGGTTAGGTCACTTATATCAAAAATGCAACAAAGTCACCTTTTCATCAAAATAAAATGTATAAAATACCATATATTTTCTCAAAATTTCACTTTTCTGTGAAACAAGACCCCTTATAGGGACGTATAAGTGTAATTTCAAGTAACTCTTTACGCAAAAATGGCAATATGCCTGATTTACAACGGTACCCTTGAAACCTAAGAATGTGGAAGAAACGTCGTTTTTCTGACTCGAAAAATGTTGTGCTGATAATTTCTCTATCATTTCTCAAAGGCGAAAAATGCGCAAGTCACTTTTACAGAGAAACCACAAATGAAAATAAACAGTTTGAAAAAACATGGATATCTTTACATAGTTGGTCACTTGAAATTATGTTGCCAGTCCCTTTTAAGTTATAAAAATAATAACTTGCCATGATATGATTTCAAAAACTAACTGTATAATTTCAAATATGAAAAATGTGTAAGATATATCTTCTGTGTTAATTTAAAAATGTTGAATATGCAATTTACTGACATTTTAAGCTCACTTTCACTTTTCAAAGTTCTAACTAAGGATGTTTCATGTATCTACAAAAATATGTTTTATAATGGAAAATAAACTTGATATTGTAACATTCGTCTAAACTCTCTATTTTAATATTTGCATATTTGACCGCTATAAATAAATTAATTAAACCGCTCTTCTATTTAAAGTAAAATATAATTATGAAATCCGATATTTTAATGTCAGCGTTCCGTGTTCGGATTAAACTGAATTCATATTTACAAAAATTTGTCCATTGATAGAAATATAGATACTGAGTATAATTATCTGAGTAAAAAGTCGTATACCTCTAAATAGATAAAGGGATGTTTTTACTTTTTTCATAAAAATGTTGCATGTTCTCAATCTCATAAAAAATGTAATTTAAATTTTTTTCTACTTTTTGTGTGTTCTGCAAGATTTTAATTTAATTATATTTTTTTTGTGAAGAAACCTTTAGTAATATAGTTCCAACTGTTTAGACGCACACACTAATAATATTTGTTCACTAGATAACAACTGCTAACTAGAGATGGGAAAACTTAGACTTTTTTTTGACACTTCTTAACATTTTAATGAATAACAAATTGGCATAAAGATTTTTCTTAATATTATCACTTATATACGGATATTTTAAATAATTCAAATTGATAAAAATATCATCAAATAGTTTGTATCATAGGTCTGATGAGTGTGAGGTGTGACACCTGTTGGAAAGCAATTTAGTTAATTACATTTTTAAATAAAAAACTTTTATAAATTCATTTGTAATAATACATACAAATATCTATAATCATAATTTAAAGTAACCCTTCAACACATTTATAGAATTCAGATTATCGATTCACAGCGGTACTCTTTAAACCTTCGTATCATTAAAGATGAATAAGACATCAATATTTTTCTAGATAAAAATTGATCTTTTTAATAGTAGGTTCTCTGTAAAAGTGACCTACGGATTAATGCTCCAGAGAAACATTTTCGAAGAAAAAAACCGACGATTTCTTTCTATTTTTATTCAGATAAAGGTTCAATGGGTATCTTTGAGAATCGGACATATCATTCTATAAATGGAGGGTCACACGATCAAAATCGTGCCCACCTGTTTTAAGGAAAAATGGCAACTAAATGATTGGTCTTTCTTACTTGCAAATTTTATTTTTAATAACATGGAGATGTTAAAAACAAGATTAATTTTTTCTAGAAAAATTGCATGATGAATTTTTGTAAGAGAATTGAATAATGATGCACATCCCTAAACTGTACACAATATTTAAGTAAGGACCTCCTAACTCAGCATTTTAAAAACTTGTTTCGTGTCTTGTACGCACTTATTTACTTGTACTTTAATTTTAATCATTGTCTGTCCAAGGTCTGTATTTGTAAAGTATTTGGTAGAAACTGAAGAATATTGTTTAATTTAGTTCAGTTGTTAAACGTAGAGAAGGATAATCAGGGAATTGCAATTTTTTGCATAATCAAGGGAGAAAAAGAACAGCTATATTCCCTGCAATAAAAATGGGGTAGCTCAGGAGGGTTAGGAGGAAAATTATACACCCAATAAACAAACCAATTGAGTGACGATTTTGATATCGTCTCTGAAATCCGTAGATGTTTCGTCTATAACTAACTGTTGTATGCAGTGAGAATGAGAAATTCTTCGATGCTATATCGTTTGCACTAATGAATTAATTGAACTAACGTACTTTTGCACCAAAGTCAGCTGATCAGTAACACTTGTGGCCGCAGCACCCGGCCCCCTAGCCGCGGCGCTCGGCCCCCTACCCTGTCCTAGCCGCAGAGCTCGGCCCAGAAATTGTCTTAACCTAACCTAACCGTCAAATAAAACGTTAGTCCGAATGAACGTTATTTCGAATGTACTTAGTCCGATCAATCATTAGTGCAAACGATACGACACCAATTATTCTATACAAAGTTCGTGTTGTTCCTATTTAATGTTTACCTTTAGAAATGTTACAGTTCAGTCTTTGCAGCCTGTAGTCAACTTATAGCTACATTGTTTTATATTTTAAACTTAAACAGATTGGAAACAAAGTTTTCTTTATAAGAACGTCAACCCATTCAATTTAGACCTTTTGATTTACTACGCTAAAAGAGCATTTCCGTGGTTCTACAGGGTTCCCCAATCAACATTTGAGACAAATTGGTTAAGGTGTCCCTGACTTAAGATCGGACATACAAACAAACAAACGAGATTACTTTTTTTATATATATATATATAACATGTAAGCATGTTAATGAATACTAATTTCTTCGGTCTTCGATTCATCTCTTAATTTCCATGTCATGGTTTTAGAGATGTGACTTCAGTTGGTTGGTTTTTGGATCGTTTTATGCCTATATTTGCCATAATTTGCGACAAAATACTTATTTTTCAACATTTGTTTTTCTTACACTTTGTCCAAACATGATGCAAAAACGAACGTGTTGTAACGCACGTTTTAGATTGTTTTCCCATATTTTTTTAGGATAAAAATATTTGCAAAGTTTAACAAAAGCAAATTTTGTTACATAATACGTTTTTTAATCGTGAAAGTTTAAAGATTTTTTTTTCAAAAACGATCTAGAACAATGGTAATTAGGGCACCTTGCACATTACATAACAGCCAAACAGGTGTTGGTTAGACTAACCCCGTGTTATAACTGTATGATGGGTCTGCACTGTTTATCGTTTCTGAGACCATCGTCAAGATATTTGTGGAATTTAATATTTACTACAGAGTGTCCCACTACACATCACAGTAAGGAGACAACAGAAATCAGCATATGTTTTCAAACGTTTTACAAATTTGATTCTTGAAAAAATTATCGATTTTCGTCCTGGTCCTGGAATTTCCACAATTTTGTGATGACACTCAACTGCAGTACAGTACAGTACACGTCACGTATACAGTACTGTTGACGCGTACAACCTGCCCATGTAGCTCAGAATCCATCAATCAATGAATCAATTAAGCAATAAACCATAATTAATCATTATTATTTCGTCTGAAAAATCGGCTTGGAAAACTATTGATGGTTGCATGCAAATATTGATTTTGCAGGGTTACTCACAAAAGATGAATCTATTTTTTGCAACTTGGGCTTGTTTCTCTATTTTCCCAATCGATGAGATAATTATTTAAAGGCTGTATTTAAGGCAAAAACCAACTTTATTTCAGTCACATTCTTGTGGGCTACCCTGTTCCTGTAACAATTCTATAATTTCTTAAAAAAGAACCAATTTTAACACGACCTTCATTCAGACTGTAATTTTAAATGTCGTCTTCTATGTCGGATTTACAGGCCGGGTTATATACAAAAGATGAGCTTTAATGACGACCAAAAAATTCTAACGAATAAAATGAAGCATCCATCCTTTACCTTAGAGCTGTAAGTACTTCCCCAAATTTGTTTTTATTTCTCAGTTCTTCTCTCATGCCCAGGTTCAAAAACATTTTTGTTCTCTATCTAAGTCGTGAAATTTTAGATTAGTCAACTTGCGTTGATTGAAAACATTTTTTATGAACAATAAAAATAAGTAATAACTAAATACTGAGTTAAAAAACTAATACTAAAAGTGTTCAGTAACTAGGACTAAGTCCTAAAATGAACAGGATTGGATTGAACAATACATCCCAATCAACACTGCTCATGGAGTTCAGTGGCTCCTGGCTTATCATGGCTCAAAGCTGGCTCGTCAAAAATCCAGTTTAAAATCTCCCTTTTAACCAAGAAAACTATTATAAAAACTTTCGTTCACAATCTCAATCAACTTTTCTAAAATGATCGTTCTAGGTTTAGTATGTCTCATGCTTTAATTAGAGTTAATAAAATATTGGCAAAATTAGAAAAGTTCCACAAAATTGTTGATTTTAACCCAATAAGATTAAAAAGCGCCAGTGAACGTCTATAAAATACATATTACCAACTACTATGCAGAATGGAGAATTCATGCGTTTCAAATTTGTCAAAAACAAAAATAAGGCCCTGATTTTAAGGATATAGAATAAAGACGCGATTTCGAAAGACCTATCATTTTTATGAAGTTGTAATTTAAACCTTAATCGGTATTACAAAAACCCTACTTTATAGTTTTTCTTATTTGCCATATTTTTTTTAATGTTTTCAATTTGATTCAGTCGTTCTCATTTTATCAATCGATATTTAAATTGGCGTCAAATATAAAACACGCAGTTTGGCTTTTATACTCGTAAATCCTTTTATCATTAACGAGAAGCTCTCAGTCTAATTTTTATTTATATAAACGTTACATTTAATTAAGAGAGTAAATTAAACAATAAATAATGAATTACGTTAACAGCACAATCCTTGATTATTTAAATGAAAATCACATTCACATTTTAATCATAAGAAAAATAAAATAATAAAATAGAGAAAATAAATGTTTCGACAGAATTTTGCCACTCCACTGGATACTAAGTTCACAATTAGATAAATGGCAGTTATATTGAATTCAAATTGAATTATTGAATTCCCTGAATGATTATCTCCTTAACCCCCCCCCCCCCTGCATAAAAGGAGAAATTAGTAGTGCTCAATTATGAAAAATGTTTGATAAAATCAAGTTTTTGCCTCCAACTTAGTACTTTTAACTCAAAAACCCATTTAAATCTATAAAAAAAAACATTTTTTTTCACATTACAGCGAATAAAACACTTTCTTTGGGAAAAATTAATTTGAAAAGAAAATGTATACCCCCCCTCCACCATTCCTTGACATAAATATGATATTTAGCAGTCTTCATGAATATATTAAATCAAATTTATATGATTAAATCAAAGAGAAATTCTTTTAGTATAGTTATAAATGATGACTTGAGTAAGCAATAATATTTTACTAATAACAGTTTAAAATCTGAATATTAAAGCTGGAATTTATAGAAAATTTGGATAGACATAAATTACTAAACATTTTGATAGTTTTGGAATATTTTCTAATGGCCTTGTACAGTATGTACACTAGGTACACTATACATTAGTCATAAATTTAAAGCTGATTACTAATTAACCTCAAATGTACATTTTGCTCATGTACAAGAAAACTTTAACACAAACGTTGTGTACAATAAAAGCAGTGACAAAGGGTACATTTGTATAAAATGTAGGACGCACGCGCGTTTTTGTGTGTACAATGTACATGTATGATTGCAGAACATAGTAAATATTGAAATATACAATTTGATTTAATTTTAATGAATAGTATTTTTATTTCTTCTTAGCTATTAAAAATGATTTCAAGATCTGCTATAACTTTGGAAAAGTATTTTTTTGTTGCAACAAATAAAAATATTCAAAATATAATCACTTTTGTTGTAAACATGATTAAAATATTGATGATCTTGAATAAATAATTAATAATACTCATAATACTTAGTTAAGTGCATTGCAGGATGCAGAACAAACAAACAGCTGTACAAGCAACCATATACGTGAAGTAAAGGGGGGGGGGGGGTAAAACTCCAAAATGGATCAGGGCCCAGGAGCAAAATTAGATTAAGGCGGGATGATAAGTTAATCAAAAAAGAAATATGAAACATACCAACAGACTTTATTTCCCACACAGAGACATACCATTACGCCATTTTTAAATCAACATCTTGTAAAAAATATTTGCGACAATACGAGTGTAGGGTTTAGAGGGAACGAGGAGTTGAAATATAACTATTCTGGTCATGCAGCTAAAGCTACCCGACAAAAAAACATTAGTTTTTAGAAGGGGGGGGGGGCGGTTCAGTAAAATTTAATTTGAGAAAATGCAAAAACTCTCGCCCTCAGCGCTCACGCCTCGGTCTCGCCCTTCAGCCGGAGTCGAGCAAAATCCTAAAATTTTAAAATAATGATTTTTTAAAAAATGACACAAAGTTTAGACAAAACAAAATGGACGTTTTCATGACAAAATGTCAATTGATAAAATGTGCGCGATCTTAACAATAAGACCTAGATCTTGACAACAGACAGATAGACGCCATTCGACAAAACGGACTGAAGACGTAATTTCAAGCGATTCTCCATTCGTAGATTGGCATTTCCAATCACAACCCTTTAAAACGTTGACTGATTAAAGGGACTGTAAAGGTAAGCTTTTAAAAACATTCATTCTTGTTTCGAGGATTTTTGAAAATGAAGACGACATTTTCATATTTTCCAGGAATGTTCTAAAATCCAGCGCCAGCCGTGAAAACAATTTAAAATATTAATAATAATAAACAAGAATATATTATGTGATATCAACTATATACGAACCCGTCGAAAAAAATCGATGATTAGTCGAATATTGCAACTTCTCAATTTGTATGGACGCTACGTTCTTCGGTACAAGTAGTTGTTAACAATTTTCTCCTTATTGACGCAACAGATAGAAGTGAGATTTGTAGCAATCACCATCGAATATTATTCGACGCAAGCCTATACCCCCATTCATTTTTCGCAAACACTCCCTTTAAGAATGACAAGACTTATCCTTATTAATCATCAGAGAAGCGCATAGAATTTTCAAACTATTTTATATTTCAAGAAATATCAATTTAATTTCAAGAAATCATTGAAAAAATATTTAAATTTGAATTTTTTTTGAACTCACGTTTTGAGATTTTCGAGAAATATAAGTCAGCTGCAATGAGTTCACACTGTACGCTAGCGTCAATTTGAACACCAAGAATGGTGTTCTCTGGGCTAGATATTCAGTAAGAAGGTTTAAGGGGACCCCTGTAAATTGGCCATTCTCATTTTAAACATGGAAGGTCAAATGAACTTTATTTATACAATTAGACAAAATCTAGACAAATTAGACACATATTAACAAAAAACACAATCTTGATAAAATAGACGCATATTCGCAACAATATGGCCGCCTTCTGAAATAAATTAATACAATCTTGACTAAAAGGTCATAGTCTTGACCAAACGGTCGCAGTTTTGACAATATCGTCACAAACTTGACCAAACGGCAGCAGTTTTGACAATATCGTCACAAACTTGACCAAACGGCAGCAGTTTTGACAATATCGTCACAAACTTGACCAAACGGCTGCAGTTTTGACAATATCGACACAAACTTGACCAAACGGTCGCAGTTTTGACAATATCGTTACAAAATTGACCAAACGGCAGCAGTTTTGACAATATCGTCACAAACTTGACCAAACGGCTGCAGTTTTGACAAAATCGTCACAAACTTGACAAATCGGCCGAAGTTTTGACAATATCGTCACAAACTTGACCAGACGGCAGCAGTTTTGACAATATCGTCACAAACTTGACCAATCGGCGGCAGTTTTGACAATATCGTCACAAACTTGTCCAATCGGCCACAGTTTTGACAATATCGTCACAAACTTGACCACACGACCAAAAACCTACAATTTGACAAACGGCCAATATCTACTATTTGACAAAAAATGGCGACAATCTTCGGAAAATGGCGTTGTTCTTAACTTCTTACCTCGAATATCAAGTCGTCGTCATTGTCTGCGTAGGTTGGGTTGTTAGTATCCTCAGTATCCAGCTGAATCAGGTTTGTATCCACTAGATAAAATAAATATCCATTAACTGGTTTGTATCCACTATATCAAATAAATATCCATTAACTAGTTTGTATCCACTATATCAAATAAATATCCATTAACTAGTTTGCATCCACTATATCAAATAAATATCCATTAACTAGTTTGTATCCACTATATCAAATAAATATCATTAACTAGTTTGTATCCACTATATCAAACAAATATTCATTAACTAGTTTGTATCCACTAGATAAAATAAATATTCATTAACTAGTTTGTATCCACTATATAAAATAAATATCCATTTACTAGTTTGTAACCACTATATCAAACAAATATTCATTAACTAGTTTGTCCATTAGATAAAATAAATATTCATTAACTAGTTTGTATCCACTATATAAAATAAATATCCATTAACTAGTTTGTATCCACTATATCAAGCAAATATTCATTAACTAGTTTGTCCATTAGATAAAATAAATATTCATTAACTCGTTTGTATCCACTATATAAAATAAATATCCATTAACTAGTTTGCATCCACTATATCAAACAAATATCCTTAACTAGTTTGTCAATTAGAAAAAACAAATATTCATTAACTAGTTTGTATGCACTAGATTAAACAAATATTCATTAACTAGTTTGTATCCACTAGATAAACAAATATCCTTAACTAGTTTGTCCATTAGATAAAACAAATATTCATTAACTAGTTTGTATGCACTAGATAAAACAAATATTCATTAACTTGTTTGTATCCACTAGATAAAACAAATATTAATTAACTAGTTTGTATCCACTAGATAAAACAAATATTCATTCAACTAGTTTGTAACAAAATTTGAATAAATAGAAAATAGTGACAAGCCTTTCGGAGCTAGTTTGCCAGAGAAGACTACGGAAAGTTGGTTAAAGGTAAGATGTTAAATAAATAAATAAATAAATAAATAATAAATAAATAAATAAATAAATAAATAAATAAATAAATAAATAAATAAATAAATAAATAGATAGATAAATAGATAGATAGATAGATAGATAAATAAAATAAGAAATAAATAAATAATAAATAAACATCAGTTAGCAGTTAAGGATAAGTAAAAAAAAACATAAAAGGCAACGTGAAAATAGATCGCAGTCGTTTTATGCCGAAAACCCTTCTAATAAAATATAACAGCAGTTATTCTTATGTTTAAATTACAAATTTAACAAAAAAGAAGGATCCATTTAGTTTTTTTGGGAATCCGGATCTAGATCCTGGATCCACACTAAAAAATGGATACGAACCCAGAAATCCATAACATTGTGGATCCAATCCAAATCCGGATCCGCATTGCAAAAAAAATTCCATAACATGGATTGCTTGAAAGCCATAAATACGAATTGTTTTGGAAAATAAGAATTGATTGACAAAAAAACAATAGAAAATAAATGGAAGGAAAATTATACCTGGAATTTCGGCGGGTTCATCCCCCGCATCTTCAGCAATATTCGGACTAAATAAGTATGTTAAAAATATATATAAATAAATAAACATAATTTTTATACAATAAAATTCATATCATGTTTTGAAGACTTGTTTTCTTATGAATAAATAAATATAAATAAATAAGTAAACACAATGTTGATAGTGATACAGTAAAGTTCATATCATGTTTTCAAGTTTTGTTTTATCATTTAAGTTTTGATAAGATGCTACCAAAATGATTTGATTTCGTGTAAGTTTGTTAAAAACGTAAAGCGTGTTTTTAGAAAACATCGAATAACAAAATAGCAGAAAAACGCTAAAAACGAATGATCAACCTTGAAAAATGGCTTCAAATGGTCTTTAACTGCCTATTTTGGGAGATAAATATTTGGGTGTACTGAGTCATTTTTAGCAGACTCGTAATTCTTTTTACCTAAAAACCCTTTAAACAACAACGTGGGGGAAAAAATAAGTAAACATGTTACTTTGAGGCATATTTTAGTTTGACAATATTGCTGGCACTGAAATAGGGTCCGGCCACAGAAGTGTACACATATTATGGTGATTCAGGAAGGGGCAGATATTTTATTTTTGATTCCATTGGTGGCTTATAAGATGCACAAACACTTGTTTTTTTTATATAAACTTCCTGAAGTTCTCGGCGTTGCCCGTGGAATTAAAAAAATCATGTCGAAGAAAAAAATTTTTGATTTGGGAAGAAAAAAAAGTAACTTTTTCAGCCTATGTTACTCCCCGGGCAGTGGGCACCCATGGGTTCTCTAAAAAAAACACATTTAGAGGCTGCATGCAAAATTAGGGCCTAACGCAGCCTGTACAAAATAAAGTGCAAAGATTTGGGTCACCCTATTGCAAATAATTACCTAGAACTGGACTTATCAGTGCAAGGTTTGTTGTCAGGATCCGGCTCAGGCTAAAAAAAATAAAAAAAATGGACTGAAAATATACAAAAAAATATATTTCTATATATATTGGAACAGAATGAAAATTGTCAAGAATTGAACGAATATTATTTAAATATATATTTAGATATTAGTTGACAGTAAAAATGAATAATGAGACTTCATTTTTAAGATTTTAAGATTTTTTCTATGGCATACTAAAGCCAATAGTGCTTAAATGTTAAAAACGAATCTAAGATGTCGCACACTAGAAGCAGTCTCAGGGGGATTGGAGAAAAATGAGTCAATTCTGTCTCTACATCTATATTGAGATGTTTATTAATATCTATATTGAGATATATATTAATATCTATATTGAGATATATATCAATATCTATATTGAGATATATATTAATATCTATATTGAGATATATATTGATATCTATATCAAGATGTTTATGAATATCTATATTGAGATATATATTGAGAAGTGTCTGACCTTGGTTGACGATTAAATTATTAATAATAATAATATTTAATAACATTTTCATTAAGTAAGAATTTGCTATTACACAAGATTCTTTTTGATTTGATATTTATCAATACATTATGCGTACTTAGAGCTTTCTTTAAAATATATCAAACTAACAAAACTTAAAAAGGAGAAACCCGCAAAACTTTATTGCTCCATATTTGCTATCCAATAATAATATAATCAATCTTTGTGCCTAAGTTTAGGATCCATTTAATTTTTATGCGGATCCGGATGAACATTAATTGATAAAACGGTTTTTACACATATGAAAATATTTCAATTCTTTGTTCTCTTCTTTCATGTTGAAACTAATGGAACTTTTCAAAGATTATGAAGCTATAATAATCGCTCATTAGTAAACAGTTGAGATTTGAGTGGTTGAAAGGAAAAAGTAAATTTTTAGCAGAGTGGTTGGTTGGTTGATATTTTTCCATTTGTATGGCAATCTGGATCCAGGAAGCAAAAATGTTGCGGATCCAACGGATCCGGATCCTAAGCATTGTTTTGAGCAAACTATTATAGTGTTCAAAGAAATCACTATTTAATCTCTGATTAGAGGAATGTCTATTGTCCAGTATCTAACGGCATATTCCTGAGCCCGCGATTTTAAAGCTTTGACTCGCGTCGTAATTCCTTAAACCCAGGTTTAAGACTCAATCTTAGACCCAACTCTGACAACAGCTTTAGTCACGTGATTTACAGCTGCAAGATCTTCGACTCGACTCAAAAAATAAGGCTAAATGAAAATAAGACCGACCTTAGTTGGTTTTAATATAGAATACTAGAAATTCAAGGCGCTTCGCGCCCTTCTTTCAAGGCTTTTAGGGCGCTTCGCGCCCATCTTCTATTTAAATTGTGAACATATTCTTTTTATTTTCATTTAAAAACAAAGAAGAAAAATTTATTAAAAACCTTTAAAACACATTTTTAAAAAAATTTTATCATTCAGTCCCACAACAAATCTGGGCCCGATCGGTTCAGCCGTTTTGACGTTTATTGGATACAAATAGACAGACAGACAGACAGACAAACAGACAGGCCAAATTTATTTATAGAAGTCTTAATGTTGAGTCATTTTTTAAATCAAATTCCGAAATCCGCCAATTTTTACCATGAAAATCCGCCAAATACGATATTAAACTGGTTACTCGGTGAAAAATTAGTTGCAACTTATCTCAAGGCTTGAGTAGTAAATAAGCCCCAATAATAGCTTAGGCCTAATTAGTATTTTCCCGAATTTTTTAAATTGCGGGGTGAACTACGCTAAAGTCGCATATTCCAGTGAAAACTGGGTTTTTACCTTCGGATGCATGAGTGTAAAGGGTAGTTCTGCTACAAGTTCTCCTGCTAAAGGTCCCAGATAAAGTTTCACTTTTACCTACATCAATATATAGTCAGATATAGTAAGATGAAACAAGGATTGAATTTAATGAACCTAGTCAAATGAACTCCAATTTCTTTGTTCTTTTCTAACAAGCCATAAGACTGTTCCTCGTTTTGTAAATACCTTCCCTTTATTACTTTTATATATAAGGTTGAAACGATAGAAAAAGCGATATGAAGAAAATTTCTGAGTGAACAGGTTTTAAATACGAATTCGGAAAAATTTGAAATTTTAAAATACATCTTTTGATATCAAAAGAGAAATGAATTTAATATGATATGCATATTTTTTCTTTGAACTTCTAGTTTTAAAGCTTCCAGTATATAACAAGAAAGTACGGAATCTCGTGGAATTTTTTTTGCTTTTATGTTTCCTTTAAATTTGCCATTATTTAAAATAAATTTACATAAATGCACGGTGATATTCTCAATTAAGCTTCACTTCTTAACAATTAAGATGGGCCTTAAAAATTATAATATATAAGGCCATGGAAAACAACAGTTTAACTTGTTAACCAAATTTATAAGGTAATTGAGTATTTACAATCAACAGTGTACTGCATAATTAACAGGTCATTGAGTACAACAGTTTGTCTTGTACTGTAGAATTAATAGGTCAGTGAGTACAACAGTTTGTCTTGAACTGTAGAATTAATAGGTCAGTGAGTACAACAGTTTGTCTTGAACTGTAGAATTAATAGGTCAGTGAGTACACCAGTTTACCTTATGAAGGTCATTTAGTACGCAGTATACCTTGTCCTATATATTTATTGTCATTGCGTAAAACCGTACTGTAACATGTACAGTTTAAGTAAAATGATAAGGTCATTGAGGACAACAGTTTACCTTGTCCTGAATAATCATTACGTTCATTGAATTTTACAGTTTACCTTGTCCAGCATAATTATTAAGGTCATTGAGTACAACAGTTTACCTTGTCCTTTATAATTATTAAGGTAATTGAGTACAACAGTTTACCTTGTCCTGTATAATTATTAAGGTCATTACAACAGTTTACATTGTTCTTTATAATTATTAAGGTCATTGAGTGCAACAGTTTACCTTGTACTGTATAATTATTAAGTTCATTGAGTACAACAGTTTACCTTGTACTGTACAATGATTCCCAGGTTTTCTTTACTACTCTGATCTGGAATAAGAGTTGAAGACGCCAGATTAGTATCCTCGTGCTTTAACTGTCCATCCAGTGCTAAAAAACATTGTTATTTAAAGAGAGAGTAAACTAATTATGAATTAATTGTAGCATTAATTTAATTTACTGGATCAATTAATGATTGGTAGATTTCTCTTACCTAGTCCCCACTTGTCCTTGTTGTTAGATAGAAGAGGTTTCAGCTCATAAACTTTACTGAGCGTTGACCCTGACCCAAGGGGGAAACCATCCTCACTTTCCTAGATTATTAGTTTTCATCAGACTAAAACATTATTTTNCAACTGGCAAAATTTCTACCTCCTTCTACCACCCAAAAAGTTGTTAATTTTCACCTGAAAATAAACAGGTTCACCCCCTATAAATTTCATAAAATAAAGTATAAGAAAAAAGTCAAAATGGAACAACTTCTTATGATGTTTGATAATTATACATCTTATCTTATCAAATATTTTTTTAAAGGAAGTAACGCGTATTTTGACTCAAAGGCTGGGAGACTATAAAATTTGATAAAGAACGCTTTACAGAAACATGAATAGGCTTTTATGATGCCACTAATAGATGTTAATATGGACACAATGTTCAAAAATCAAAACTCGTAACAAGTCTTGTTTTTACCTTCTCGTCGACTGTGCATTTATATTGTGCTGTAGAAAAGAGACAGATGTCTGCAAACTGTCGAACAGACACCTGAAACATTGAGATTAAGACAGTTGAAGATAACTGAGATTGAGACAGTTGAAGATAACTATCATCAGCTAAACGCCAAATCAGCTAAATTAATATTAATCTTAAAATGTGCATGAGATACAGACAGCTGATGAGATAATTATTAAACCAGACGCTTAAAACACCGTGATAAAGACAGATGAAAAAAACAATAGTGGTAGGCGATTATATCTATACAATCAAAGCGACCTTCGATATAAATTTTGATTCGAGGGTTTAAACAACATGGATACACAAAATAATGGAAACAAAGAGAAAACAAGCTTCTCTTTAATTACTTGTAAACTTGTAATTCGAAAAAAGCTTGTTAACAAAAAACTTTAATAAAAGTCGTCTTCATTATATTCAGATTATCGCCTACGCCTACCACCGTATCTTTAGTAAAACGACAAAACATTGAGATGCAGACAGCTTAAGAGATAATTATTAGGCCAGACGCATTAAAAACGTTGTGATAAAGACAGCTGCACTATAGATATAATTATTAAGTTAGACATTTTTAACACTGTGATAAAGACAGCTGAGGAGATAATTAAATAGCAAGATGCTTTAAACATTTTGATAAAGAAGACAAATTTTGCACCTTACGACTCAACTATTGCTAGACAGTTATTCAGACATACAAATCAACTAATGAGAAAAAGACAATTGAATAAGTGTTATGTATTTTCAGCCAGATAACTAAAACACTAGTATAAAGACAGAAGAGATAAATTGAGATAAAAACAATTGAAGAGACAGATGACCAAAAACTATCAAACCTCGAATTAAACTGTTGATGTAAAGATAGCCTATCGGTGATCAGACATATAGTCAAAAGACGACTTTAACATTAGATAAAGACAACTTAAAAAGATAGATTTCTGCAAACTTAAAGAGAAAGGCCTAAAAAGTTGTAAGTAAGACAACTAAAATGACAGCTTCATAAAGTTTTTACATCCAAGAAATGTAATTTAAAGAACAGAAAAGAGAAAATAAAGAATGCTCTGAAAGATTGTCAAGCCAAATTGGTATTGGAAACCATTTGTTCAGTAAAAATTTCCTGTGATTAAAAACTCAAGATAAGGACACTGCAGTTTCATTTTCTTTTTACAGAAAAAAGGCAAACTAAATTTTAGATTAGCTTTCATTTAAAAACAAATAAATGATTATAAATAAACTTACCTTCAGTTTCTTGACTGCTTTATTTGAGTTGTTCTGAAATATATTTATTATTAATGTCAGGAAATAAAATAATTTTAACAGTGTAGACACAGACTCAGACGACTAAGGGGGCGAGGAAATTTTTCTTCCATAGAGTTAGTTCTTCCGGAAGGACTAGGACTCAGGTGTATAAATTAAGACACCCCTCCCCCCACTCCTTTTTTTGGTAATTTTCAAACGAGATGCACTGCGCCAGTGAGTATTGAAGAGTTTAGGAAAAATACAGATTTAAAATTTATTTTTGGGGGAAAAATAGGTGAACTCTGAAAGTTCAAAGTTCTATTTTAAAAATTTTCCCACAGGAGGGGATTTCTAATGAAAAATAAAAACCCCTCCTGACAGAATAAAACCAGCCCAGCAATATATCTAACTAAACTATTGGACACATAAACGCAAACAAAACTAGGAATGCAAAGCATTTATAACAGCCTAAATTATGTTGGTTAGTGATCATAATAATCAACATAGATAGAAAATATCTTTCAATGATTACCTTATATTTCTTACGTAAAATAAATTAATTTTTGGTTTTAAAAATTTCAAATTAAAAAAATCTAAAATAATTTTTAGGGGCATCACAAATCATTTCTTCCTTTGGGGGTAATTTTTTTAAATATAAACAATTCCACTCTTGAAGAAGTTCATTTATTTGATTAATTATCTGAGACAAGGAAATACGGCAAAAGTTTAAATTATAATTAGGAACTAATCTTCTCCCCATGTTCTCCTTCTTAAATATTTTACATTTATTATGACATGTCTTTAATCCTAATTAAAAATTATTTTATGTCCATTCCAGATACCAATCCTAAAAAGTCGTTTTAAAAAAATGTTTAATCCATAGAGCATGTTTTCCCATTTTTTACTTAAATTAAATGTTTAACCATTCTTTATTTGAAAGTTCTAACAGATATTAGAAACTTTTACAAATTAACTAATATATCTAATACAATCAGTCTAGAACTTCAAAGAACACCTTCCACACAGGGGTTTATATTTTAATTTTTCTAACATTGGATAATAGTTTTGGAAGTTTTAAAGGGGAAAAAAGCTTTGCTTTTACATCATAATGTTACTTTTCTTATAAAATCATTTCACCCTCAGTATACTAGAAAAAACTTTCACAACATTTTTTTCAAAAAAGGTTTCTCCGGTTCGGGATATTCTTTAAAATATTTACTCCTTCTAAGATTATATATACTCACAAAATTCCTTAAATCAGCATATTTATTTAAGTCATCATTATTATAAATTTAGCATTATTTAGTACTATTTTTGTTTTTAACCTTTCCCAATCCTTAGGCAACAGTTTCAATTTAAAATAATAATTTCTATCTGACTCGAAAAATATTATAACATTTTTGAGAATAGAAAAATTGATTTTCCGTATTAAGAGCTCAAGAAAAGGAATATGAAAAGGACACCAGGTGAGAAGGCCCAAACTTTAAAATACCCCTTACCGGACCCCAACCCTCCAATTTTTTCAATAACAAAGTGTAAAAAAACCATGAAAATAATAAACCTGTTACAGGGAGGGACCTGCAGGTAAAGCAAGGGTTGGTAATTATTAGTAAGAAACAAGTTCAAATTCTGATTGGGATTCCCCCAGTTTTCATCGTGTTAGGGACACACACTTTTCAACCTGGAATACCTTGAATACAGAATGCCAGATCCGTTCATGTAAATGCGTGAGACAAGGTAAAACCTTTAAAAATTCATTTTGACTTTTTATGTTTTGGCGACATTAAACAAATTCTTCAATTTGTCATGAATATATCTAAAATATACAATGTCAACAGAAAATTACTTATTATAGAGAAAAGTCAATAATTTAGTTACTTATTTGTCAAACTGTTTAACTATCTTGATAAGAAAAATGAGGGTATGGGAAATCCACCTGAATATGAACATTAACGGAGATAGTTTCTCCGTGATAGTAGAGCTCCTTATCTAGACTGCACTCCAGGTGGAGTTTGTTAGGAGACATCATAAACTCTTTCGACACCTGATAATATAAAAGAATGAAATGGTTTGAAGAAAAAATTACGACCGTGCGACTGTGCTTAGGATCCGGATGCGTTGGTTGCTTAACATTTTAGCTACTGGGATCCGGATCCGCAAAAATATGCAATTTCACGGATCCGGATCAAAGGGACAAACTATCAACTAAAAATTCAATTAAGGTTCAGCATAAAAATAAGCGAAAAAAAGTTAATAATAATTGGAAAATTCCTCTATTATAAAAAAAATCAGTCACAAGAAATGTTTATGAGCTGGATCCGGATCGAGATCCGGGGTTGGATCTGCATTAAAGTGAAATGGAAACACTGTTTGCAGTTGAAATACTTTTAAATTCATCAGATGACAAAACAATGCTTTAAAGGACTGTACCCTCTAATTGTAGAGTAGTGTGTTCGATTGAAAACAGTACTCATAAGCTTTGACTGACAAAGGTTGACGGGTTTATTCTTATTTGTTTACAGAAGTGTTTGCTTGTAATTTTTGAACTAGTATTCGTAGAAAATAAGTATTTACATTCTAATTTTTAAAACCACGTTGGATATGGATTATTCGGGATCAACTGTATGGAGTTCAAACTGTACCCTAGCGTACACTCCATTGTCACAGCAACTTTAACACTATGATTTAAGAGATAAAAGGAGTTCTCTGCCCTCAATCATCAGTCAAAGGTGTAAAGGGTAAATCGTACATTCCCCTCTTTTCATAAGGGGTCACTTGAATACTTTCCTAAAGCCATTTTCCCAAGTGGCAACTTCCCAAAGATTAGGTTAGGCCCTCTGAGACGTCGCAGGCTAGGACAGACATAGATAAGATAAGATAAGAGAGGATCTGAAGACCCCCCCATTTTGGACCGCCATCGGGGCTAACTCCCATGAGCTCCGGCACCCCCCGGCTCCCATACTTACGTTGGGAAGATGCTACCAGTGGGTCGGGCAGAATCACAAAGTGATTCTGATGTGCATCCTCCAACAGCCTACAATGGCAATAACACGAGAAAAGACATTACCTGTTTAAAACCCAGTCACTAATTGGATTTGTTGCCCAAAGGGCATAAGCCCAGCATCAAGTACTCCTGCCAGAGTTGATGCTGACATAGGAAGTTGCCGCTTGGGAAATTGCACATTTGGGAAGTTGCCACTTGGGGAAAATCCTTTGGGAAAGTACCTAACATCCTTGAAGTCCTTTTAATGGGAGTGAACGGCAATGTATGGTTGTAGAACTGAATATGGAGTATTTCAGGACTTTATGACATATAAAACGTTTCTACGACCTATATTTACTGAGTTTGAGCGTAAAGTCGACGTTCAAAATCATGCATTTGGGTGAGTACGTCTTCAGAACCGGTTTCTTTTAATTATTAAATAACGACGACAAAAAATGTAAACAAAATTCCAAAGGAAACTAATTAGTTGTTTAGGAACAGGTGAGAAAATAAAAATTCAATATAATGATGAAAAAAGGAAATTTAAAAAACCGATGCTGAAAGCTATTTAAACAGGCTCCCTGAACTGCCAAAAACCTGTTCTAATTGAGCGCCGGCTCAAATCCCGAAACGCTGAATACAATTTCAACTGCAACCATGTTTGAGCCGCGTCTCATATTTGAGACGCGGCTCAAATTCTTTAAATTCGGCCTCCAGTTAATTTTTATCCCAAATTTTGTTGCGTGTATTGGAGGGAAGGGTAAATAATGTGGTGAATATACCTTTCTTATTGCAAGTCTGACAGAGTTTCGCTTGTGTGGCTTGTCTTCGGTTGAGTCCCCTACATAGGCCTGAATCCCCGGGGTTGGTTTAACAATGAGAAAATAACAGAAATAAAAATAACAACAATTATTAGTAATTAATTAGACATGGAACTATCTTTAAAAATTGGATGGAAATGATTTTCGATGATGGGGGTTATACAATGCAGGCAGTTCAGATTATAGTATGCAATGCAGACAGTTCAGATTATAGTATGCAATGCAGGCAGTTCAGATTATATTATACAATGCAGGCAGTTCAGATTATAGTATGCTATGCAGGCAGTTCAGATTATAGTATGCAATGCAGGCAGTTTAGATTATAGTATGCAATGCAGGCAGTTCAGATTACATTATGCAATGCAGGCAGTTCAGATTATAGTATGCAATGCAGGCAGTTCAGAATATAGTATGCAATGCAGGCAGTTCAGATTATAGAATGCAATGCAGGCAGTTTAGATTATAGTATGCAATGCAGGCAGTTCGGATTATAGTATGCAATGCAGGCAGTTTACATTATAGTATGCAATGCAGGCAGTTCAGATTATAGTATGCAATGCAAGCAGTTCAGGTTATAGTATGCAATGCAGGCAGTTTAGATAATAATTTTTGAATTTTCAAAGCAAAAAAGGAAATGCCTGACAATATTGAGTCCATTTATATTTTTATTCCAGAATTTTGTTTAATCCAACCGTTCCTTCATTTCGTAATCAATCCCACAAGGTTTTCCTGAAATCAAATAATAAATTGTCAAAAATTTTGTTAAACAAAACAAATGTCTTAGGGACTAAACAAAACCAGTGCTTAGGATTTTAAAATTTTATTTGATAAATTAAAAAAAAATTCTTTTATCAACATGTTTTAAAAGAATTGAAAATCGAAATGTGTTTTTTTAGATAGCAAGTTTGAGTTTTTAAAGATTTTTTTCTAATTTGCTATTTGGTGGTGCAAAAGGTTTTGTGATTTTGATGAATAGTTTCACCCTAAATTATATTTTATAATAACACTAATTATTATGCATCCTGTTTACATTTTAAGGGTCAGTCAAAACAACCAGCGAGTTTACAAGACAAGCAAAAAATGAGCGCCCTACGACGATGCTAAGTTGTATTTGAACGTTGCTAAATTTAGCTGGCGAGTAATACTTTTCGTGAACCACCCCTTCCCCCATCCCCCCTCAATATTTCAAATTTTAAATAAATATAAGCCTAACCTGTGTCCCCTGGAGCTGGTTGTAGTGTAACACTAGCAGGACAATGAGGTGGCAGCTCAAAGAAAAATGGATAAGCATTATCTCCTAGTTTCTTCATTAACCTTTCCTGAACAATTCCTCATCCGTCATACATTATTCGTAAATATAATTAAATATCATTCGTCATCCGTCTTACATTAGTCGTGAATATCATCCAATATCAATCGTCATCCGTCATACATTAGTCGTGAATATCATCCAAATCAATCGTCATCCTTCATACATTAGTCGTGAATATCATCCAATATTATTCGTCATCCGTCATACGGTAGTCGTAAATATAATCTTATATCACTCGTCATCCGTCATACATTATTCGTTAATATGATCAAATATCATTTGTCTTATGATTTTCGTCATACATTTGTTCCCGCGTTTTTCGTAATTATGCAATACATCCTTCATCATTTATAATCTTTTAATATTATAATTATTTTTTGTGTTTTCGTTGTTATGTCAAACGGTCTGCATCCTTTCGCTTCACTGTTATTTATTATCAACAATCCATCATTCGTCATTTATTTATTTTCGTCATTTGTAAATTTTATTCGTCATCCAGTATGCATCCTGTCGTTCGACTGTCGTTCATTTGTCAACAATTCATTGTTCGTCTGTCGATATTCTTCACCAATCATTTTTTGTCATTTAATCAACCAGTGTGCACCCTTCTATTTGTATACATCATCGTCATTCATACAATCCTTATTAACCAGTGTGCACCCTTCTACTTGTTTACATCATCGTCATTCATACAATCTTTATTAACCAGTGTGCACCCTTCTACTTGTTTACATCATCGTCATTCATACAATATTTATTAATCAGTGTGCACCCTTCTACTTTTATACATAATCGTCAGTCATACAATCCTTATAAACCAGTGTGCACCCTTCTACTTGTATACATCATCGTCATTCATACAATCTTGATTAACCAGTGTGCACCCTTCTATTTGTATACATCATCGTCATACATACAATCCAATTAACCAGTGTGCACCCTTCTACTTGTATACATTATCGTCATTCATATAATCTTTATTAACCAGTGTGCACCCTTCTACTTGTATACATCATCGTCATTCATACAATATTNCATCATACATCATACATCATACATCATACATCATACATCATACATCATACATCATACATCATACATCATACATCATACATCATACATCATACATCATACATCATACATCATACATCATACATCATACATCATACATCATACATCATACATCATACATCATACATCATACATCATACATCATACATCATACATCATACATCATACATCATACATCATACATCATACATCATACATCATACATCATACATCATACATCATACATCATACATCATACATCATACATCATACATCATACATCATACATCATACATCATACATCATACATCATACATCATACATCATACATCATACATCATACATCATACATCATACATCATACATCATACATCATACATCATACATCATACATCATACATCATACATCATACATCATACATCATACATCATACATCATACATCATACATCATACATCATACATCATACATCATACATCATACATCATACATCATACATCATACATCATACATCATACATCATACATCATACATCATACATCATACATCATACATCATACATCATACATCATACATCATACATCATACATCATACATCATACATCATACATCATACATCATACAATCTCTATTAACAATTTATTTTTTAAGTGTTTCATAAATATTTATCGTCCTCCATACGTATTGAGTCAGTTTCTTTGTAATTCATGTTTTGTCATCCATTCTTCATCATTCACAATTACTTTTCTTCTTTATTAACTTTTGAGAAAATGGTAAATATTGACATGATACTTATTTCATCTGTGAATTGTAATCAGAGGAATAACATGCAAGGCTGCAAGTTTATCCCTCCTTATAGGGGATTTTCTAAAATAAATATTTTATTTTCGACAAAAAAATGTATTAAAAATTTAAATGAAAAGACAGTTGAAATCATTACTAATACATTTTCTGAAAAAGACTTAGCTTAATGATTATGACAAAAATGAAAGGGTAAACAATAACTCAGTTTTCCGTTCTAATAATCCCATTTCTAAAAATTGGTACGTCTTATAATATCTTATGTGGTCACAGTCTATGCATATATTTTTTAAATTACACCATCCTTTAAAAGGCAAGTTCATTAAATTCTTTTTCTTATAAAAATTCCTTTATTTTTCACTACAAATAATTTATTTTCCCATCTTAGCAAACAAAACCCATAAAAATGTTGCCGCTCCGCGCAAGCATAAACTACACCTTGAGAACAAAAAAAAATAAACAAAAATATTCACCATCTTTATAAATCTTTTTCAATCTATTTACATTAATAGTTTCTATATGTTTTAAATGTTTTGTTATGGACTAAAATTCAGTGATAGAGATCCATTTCAATTCCATACGGATCTGGATCCAAAACCGGATCCGGATCCAGGTTATAAATCTATAGAATAAAGCTCTTCGCTCAAATTATATATAATACTAGCTGAAGGACCCGGCGTTGCCCGCAAAATAAGATTTTAGAGAAAAAAATTCAATTTCTTTTTAGCCTTTGTCTCCCCGGGGCTACCCATTCGGTCCAGCCGTTTGGCTGGCCAGAGGGAACATATATACGAATGTCTTGTTTTATTATGTAGATATTATATACATTATACATAATACATAGACTAAAAAATAATTGATTCTAGAAAGCTAGTATTGCTAAAAGATTTACTGGTTTTATTGAAAAAATGAAAAAATTTCTTTTTGTCCCTTTTTTATGCAGAAACTCAATAAACCGTTAAACTTTTTTAAAATATCGCTCTTCAGTTTCCAATTGAATTTTTTTTTTTGCAAAAAATTTGATTTTAAGCAGGTAATTGTGGATTTTTTGCCCCTTCAACTCGGATCCTGAGCACTGTACAAAATACTTTAAAGCTTTTAAATAAGTATCATTAAATTTTTGCAAACGCTAAAATTAAGTAATATAATAAATGTATCTTATCAAGAAAATATTAACTCATCCATCAATCAATCAATCGAAAATTCGAAAAATTTAAAACATACCTGAAGTCGAGTTAGAGGACGTTTTGTATTCTCCTTGTCCTCCTGAGGGTAGATGAGAGAGGACGCTAGATATAAATCCTGAAATAAGGACACGACTGCAGTGTTGGACACATTTAGGTTTTCAGGGCTTCTAAGAGGCAACTGAAAATTCTGAAACGTTTATGAAGCCAAATCTTTTTTAGTTTTATCAAATACTTAAAATTTACTCTAATAATATTTTCTTTCAGTTTCCTTTTAGTTATTGTTAAATCAAATTTGTTCTATATGATGGATTTAAATGGCAAGCATTGCTTTTTATTGCATTGCTACCTTAACAAATCATATTTACTTGCAGCGAAATAAATAAAAGGACAATGTTATATTTTTTTGCCATAATAACGTTTTTGCCATAATAGCGTTTTTGATAATTTATCTTCAATTTATGGTTCTGTAATACGTTAACCAACATATTTTCCGAGAAAGTGGAAAAATGAAAATCTTTAAAAAATATGAAATTAGAGGCCGAAGGATTTGAGCCGCAGCTTAAATTTAAGCCACGGCTCAAATATGACTTGTTCCACTTAAAATTGTATTCAATGTTTTAAGACTTAAGCCGGAGCTAAATTGAAACCGGTTTTTGGCGGATTTGAGACGCGGCTCAAATTCATTAAATTCGGACTTTGATAAGCGTAAATTTGCTTTAATTTAATGAATATGTGGCTGCCTATTGTTTTAATATAAGTTACCTTTCTAAAAGTAAGTCCCAGAACATCCAGGTCTTCCCGACCGTACCGGAAAGCAGCAAGTACATGTCCATACACTTTCCGGTCCTGTACAGTGTACATTAAAATTAAATTACGAAATCTAAACCACATATTTTCTGGTTTATTTAGTTTTATATATAGTAATGGATAACCATATTTTAAATCAATTAACTCCCGATCCCTCATCCTTGGCAGAAGGAAATTATATTTAAAGATTTGGAGAAGGGGGGGGGGGCTTAAATTTCGTTTTTAAACCCATTTAAACACATCTGCTGCTAGGTTTCACAATTTTATTTTTAGCATAAATAAGAAGATTATTGGAAGAGAGCTAAAATACAATTCGACCTTTGACATTATTAAATACCTTCAAGTATTCTGGATCAACTAGAACTACTCCATCAATTGGATCAACATGCGTCACGTGATCCACAAAATCCCTTTTCCCCAGGTACACCGTTATCTTCCCGTTGGGGGATCCCTTCTTAAACACCCTGGTCCCCTGCTTCTTGCTAGCGGAGGACATGATGTACTTGATCGGAAAAATGTGGTAGACGAACTTACATTATTCTTCGACTAGAGAAGCACCAATAAATTTATAGATCTGAAATTACACACTTTGAATTAACATTCTTAAATTTTTTTATAAGTTTCTTAAAATTGCTTTGAATTCCGTTCAATTTAGTACATGACCTCTTATATTTCAGCACAATTATTTTTCTTTTATTATTTTATTGTTAAGCTAGGTTAAGACGGGCCAAGCGCTGCGGCTAGTACAAGCTAGTGGGCCGAGCGCTGCGGCTAGAATAGGCTAGGGGGCCGAGCGCCGCGGCTAGGACAGGCTGGGGGGCCGGGCGCTACGGCCACAAGACCAAATATGAATATGTGTCACAAATGAGATCAATGTACAAAACTGATAGGAGGAGGGACGAAAGTCCAAAAATCGTTCTCTAGGAAATCACAAATTCTTTTTCACTGTGTTGTTTCTCAGCTTTTATCACAATTCTGAATTTAGTCTCGACCGCCACCCATCCCACTCTCTCTCTCTCTGTCGCTCTCTCGTCTTACTCTCTCTCTCTCTCTCTCTGTTGTGTAAATTGGAAAGGAAAACCTGTTCTTATGTATCTTCGCAACTAAGAGAAAGTTCGGAAATCGGAACAGAAATATATATATATACTTTTCCAAACTTATTGAATCGCAAAAATGATTAATTTATCACATTCGTTTGTAATTATTTTGAGTATTGTTTATGCCATATAAAGGCATGTAGGGGCGGCTTACGGCTTAGGGGGGGGGGAGGAATTAAATTAAACATGAAATATTGGGGGGTGTAGCGTTAAATCCAAGACCGGGCGTTATATTTAGTCCGGGTGAGTGCTACATCATACATGTGAAATCCGTGTACAAAATTGATAGGAGGGGGAAGAGGGGGTCAAAAAATCGTATATTAGGAAATTACTGCTGGTTATGTACAAAATTGATAGAACGGGGGGAAACAAAAAATTGTAACAATTGATAATGTGCATTGCTTTGGGTCCGCCAAAGTAAACAATTTTAGAACCCCCCCCCCTCTCCCTTCTATCAATTTTATACACAACCAGTGGTAACTTCCTAATATACGATTTTTGACCCCCCCCCCCTTCCCTCCCCAATCAATTTTGTACATAGATCCGAACCACATTCTCATAATTTTCTCGTCCAAACCACATAGAAATCCTCGTCCTTTTAATATTATTTTTTTAAAGTGTCCGATCCTTGAAAATAAATAAATTTTTTAAAAATATGGCGACGTTAGGGCATAAAACATGACTAGAATAAAGTTTTCCAAGGATTTTGAAATGTTGGAATCTTCAAATCCACGAGAATGATGTCAAACATTATTTAGGTTTAAAATTGAATCTCTTCTGCCTCCAAAATGGATAACTTTCACAAATAAAAATTTATACCAAAGAATTCGCGTGAACATGGTCTTTAATCTATCCATTTCAACCCATACAAAAAATCATTGATTTCTGATTTATTTACAAATAAGGTAGATTTGTTGTCCCCACTAAGAGATCACTACTGCCTGCCGCATGCTTAAAATTCTAGAAAAAATAATGTTCAATTTATATTATTCAAATCATTTGCTACAATTAATTGGTCACAACCCTATGAATTCAAACAGTATTTAAGCATATAAAAATTGTAAGTCATATCTCTAACCCAAATTCAGCTGAAATATTACAAAAAGTTGTTTACATCGAGTTTGAGAATGTTTTGCGGCATTTTCCGCAAAAGGAAGGAGCATTTTCATTTTTACACAAATCTAAAATTTAATTGGGAAAATTTGATATTTCATCTATGCCCTAATGTCGCCATATTTATAAAAAATGTATTTATTTCCAAGAATCGGACAATTAAAAAAAATAATATTGAAAGGACGAGGGTTTCGATGTGGTTCGGACGAGAAAATGATGAGAATGTGGTTCGGACTAGAGATTGATTTGGTTGGCCTTCCTCCCCTCCTCACCCAGGACTTATTTTACTTGACTGGGGGATCAAAGGCAAAAATTCCGGCCATTATTCTTAAAGGTATAATTTGCGGGCCCGTATCGGAAATTTTAGATATTTCACAAATAATTTAGATTTAGAGTTTTAGGCAATTACGCAAATTGAGCGTATTTTTACGCAATTTGTATACCTGAAATAAAATGATACACATCTCCACAAATTCATGATATTTTTACTTAAAGCTGGGTTATAAAATATTTACTTTAGAAAAATTAGATATTTACACTAAACGCAAATTTGCGTTTTAATTGCGTAATTGGAGCCAAAATATTATGCGTTTACGTTGCTTACGCAATTTGGATAGCTGGACGCAGAATTGCAATTAACTTTCCTTGCATTAGTACCTTGACTTAAACTATCACCCACCCCTTTGGGAATATGCTGGGTATGTAATTATCTGAAAGAAAAATCTGTTCATTTCTGTCCCGATTTACGAACCCTTCTGTTACAATGTTAATGTGTAAATATCAGAAATCAGCTGTTAAGCAATAAATATTGATATGATTCAAATTTGATGAGCAGAGAACTGATAAATAAGTTTTTTTTTTTTTTTTTTTTTTTTTGTATTTTAAATTCAGCTGAAATATTACAAAAAGTTGTTTACATCGAGTTTGAGAATGTTTTGCGGCATTTTCCGCAAAAGGAAGGAGCATTTTCATTTTTACACAAATCTAAAATTTAATTGGGAAAATTTGATATTTCATCTATGCCCTAATGTCGCCATATTTATAAAAAATGTATTTATTTCCAAGAATCGGACAATTAAAAAAAATAATATTGAAAGGACGAGGGTTTCGATGTGGTTCGGACGAGAAAATGATGAGAATGTGGTTCGGACTAGAGATTGATTTGGTTGGCCTTCCTCCCCTCCTCACCCAGGACTTATTTTACTTGACTGGGGGATCAAAGGCAAAAATTCCGGCCATTATTCTTAAAGGTATAATTTGCGGGCCCGTATCGGAAATTTTAGATATTTCACAAATAATTTAGATTTAGAGTTTTAGGCAATTACGCAAATTGAGCGTATTTTTACGCAATTTGTATACCTGAAATAAAATGATACACATCTCCACAAATTCATGATATTTTTACTTAAAGCTGGGTTATAAAATATTTACTTTAGAAAAATTAGATATTTACACTAATTTGAAATCTAGACTTACGCAAATTTGCGTTTTAATTGCGTAATTGGAGCCAAAATATTATGCGTTTACGTTGCTTACGCAATTTGGATAGCTGGACGCAGAATTGCAATTAACTTTCCTTGCATTAGTACCTTGACTTAAACTATCACCCACCCCTTTGGGAATATGCTGGGTATGTAATTATCTGAAAGAAAAATCTGTTCATTTCTGTCCCGATTTACGAACCCTTCTGTTACAATGTTAATGTGTAAATATCAGAAATCAGCTGTTAAGCAATAAATATTGATATGATTCAAATTTGATGAGCAGAGAACTGATAAATAAGTTTTTTTTTTTTTTTTTGGGGGGGGGGGGTTTAGGACCGGAGTTTAGCACTTGGCAGTGTATAAATTGAGAACATTCTAATGTGGGTCTGTTCTAGAGAACACATTTTTTAACATGTGAACTGCAATTGATGCTATTTCTTTAGCAAACTTGGCCAGGAATTTATAAGGGGGGCACAAAGTTTAAAAAGTTTATTGCCCTTAATCCTATTAAAATGTTAAGATTTATGAATCAAGACTAAACAACTGATTTTACTTTTAATACACACTGTATTTTAGTTTAGTATAGATATGTTCTATTTTAAAACATAAATCATAAATGTCTTCGTTCTCTTACAAGCTAGATTAAGAAGATTTTTTCTATTTGCATAGCAATAAAAAATCGCCTTATAATATTTATTTTATGCAGGGTGTCCCTCGAAATTCATGGCAGTAGCAATGACGACTCGAAAGTCCACTTTGATGATTTGAATTTACTTCAACCTACTTTAACATGTATAATTATTGAAACAATTATCCTGGTCCTGGCGTTTCCAAAATGTGGTCTGCTTTTTTGGAATGTCAATACTACCCGAAATATTAAGAATTTCGTTCAGATTTCAATTTTATTAAATAAGACTAAAATTGTCGAAATCATAAAGAAACTCTTCATATAGCTCTGGTAATAATGAATGCACAAAAAGGCAGACCACAATTTGTAAATGCCAAGACTAGGGGAATTTTGTGATTATGAACTTTAGAATTTTATATCTATGATTAGATTTACGAATAAATGCCACAAAGTATTTCTAGTATCAAAGCAGACCTTCAATTCGTCTTGCTTCTGAATAGTTCAAACAACCAATAGTTCAAACCCAAGTAAAAAAAGTGAGGAATTTCCTGTAACTGATTCCTCGGAAATTCTCGAGAAATTCCCCAGAATTGGTCCCCAAGATGAGAGATTTTTGTGGGATCACAGTTTTAAGACTCAGTTTTGAGAAATTCTGGAGAAATTCCGAGAAATTTTATGGGGAAAAATTCCTCAGAATTTCTTAGGACTTGGTCACCACGTTTATGGATTTTTAGGGGAATTTATGAAGAGAATTAATTTCAAGAAAATCCTGAAAATTTCTCCCGATTACTTCTCCGGAAATTCCTGAGAAATTTGTAGTACTTGGTCACAAAGTTTTCGGATATTTAGGGAAATTGAATATGAGAATTCATTTTGAGAAATTCCTGGGAATTTCTCCGGAATTTCACGCCAAGAAATTCCTGAAAAATTCTCCAGAAATTCCTTAGAAATTCTTAGGACTTGGTCACCAAGTTTACGGAATTTTAGGGGAATAAAATAAGAGAATACGTTTCGAGAATTTCTCAGGACTTCTTCACTTAATTATCAAGTTCCGTTTTTGCTCCAATAGGTGTCTCTGAGTTTCGCTTCTATTATGCACTGCCCTAACTAAATCTTTTTTTTCATTGCATCCTTTTTGATAAAAAATGATAATTTACGGAATGGATTACGAAAATTCCTCGAAATAGCTGTCCACATTTTCACCGGAATATCCTGAGAAAGATTCCTGGGAATTTCCGTGGATTTTCTGCAA